CAATGACTTCTTCTTAGCATATAGCTCTAACTCTGTGGCTGAGGGTCTTCACTAAATTTCTTTTATACATGAGAGCAACGAAGCTGTGAAAATGTGTATATTGTCCTGTCCAAGTACTTTTTCTATGCAAATTTCTTTTTATGATACCATCTGGTTTCCTTGTAAGAAGACAATTCTGTCTTGGGATTCCTCTTTGCATGTGAATTTCATAACCGACTGTACTTCATTGAATTCAGTAATTATTTTAGCCCTCTCAGAACCGTTATCATAAAAGATGAAGGTTTCATCTATATATCGGCAATAAAATGAGAGCTTACTGATAAGGTTGTTCAAAGGTCCATTTTCTAGCTTACTTAGAAATAAATCAGGCAGAGGGAGATTTTACAAATAAGTAAGCTTGTGACACAAAATAAACACTGAGATCGCTTCTTATGTTTGAAAGATAATTCAGAAGGCAGATTTTGTCGCCTGTGGGAATTGAATATGTCAGCGATCACTTAGGAATTAGATATTTCAAAATCAATATTATTGTTCACTGATTACTGAAATGCGTGTAACGTTTAGTTCTTTAGTATATATATATATATATATAGTGTTGTTACGTGGCAGTTACTATGACACGTTTATAAGCCTTATATTCTGCAATACCTCGATGCACAGCTCTCTGAAACCGATGCTTTGAAGTGGTCGTGCTAAGAGCAGTTACTGTCATAGTGGAAGTCGTTTCACTTATCCTTGACATCTGAGATTGAAGCCATAGTGCTGTCTGCCTTGGATATGGCGGTAGTGGGATGTTTTATCGACCAAGGATTCAGAGGGTTGTAACAGGTGTTGTGTGTCCAATGCGTTGTGGCGCTCTGTGAATTCTGTCAGTCAAGTTTGTGATACAGACGCTAACCTAAAAGACTACTTATCGGAGTAACCCTGAATTATCTCTCCAAAAATCCGCTTCCTGTAGATTTTCCTCAGCAACCTGGCCTATGTTCTGAAGACGAGAGTCTGGAAACTTTGGCTGTGAAATGAGTGCATACAGAATTAACATATGATATTTCGTAAATGGTAGTCAGGTCTTCCATACAAACAAAGATCTGTCGACTCCAGCTGACAAGAGGTCGCATTTGACCAACTTCATGTCAGCGTTTCTTGGACCCTGTGATTAACTGACACCCATATTTTCCCTTCCACTTAGTTAGAAAAGAAACTGACTTCTATTGTGTCAATTTCCACGCAGTAGGGAATGCTTTCCACACTTTCATCAGCATACAATTGTTTACTGGTGGTCATCTGCCCAAAGATTGATTTCATTTTGCCACTTCCTTCATTCTGTCATAACTTTGTAGTTAATGATAGCTTCGAAGGTCAGAAAATTACCATTTATAATGACTTACTTTACATTCGATGATGCAACGTCTTGACTTTATGCCAAATCGGGCAAGATATCTCACCAACCAAATGTCTGTCCCCCTTGGCTTCTGATGTGTGCTTTGTCTGTAATTGACGCGTAGAAAATCTATATATAGTTACGTATCCGACTAAACTTGGCAACTGGTGGATCCACAAAGTTCTCACTTAGCGTGCCTACAGATCATATGGTTAGTTCTCGTGAACTTTCTCGCCTATCAATAACACTGGGCTCCTGAACAAAAAACTTGTGGTAACCATCATGTTATAATTAATTATTCATAAGTCACTTGACTACTAGCATAAAGCATCGAATAAGACATCGCTTTTATCTGAAAGTATATATTGTGCTAATGTCAGCAAAAAGTTTGAGCAATATGGAATAGATCGAATAAAGTATATTAAAACAAGACATATATGCGAACAATGTTGTTTTCAATTAGATCTTCATCAGGCTTTACTCTAATTTACATAGATTGTTCGAAATGTATTGCGCAAATACATTAAACGATTCAGACAAATTACGTCTTTTCACTGCTTTGTCTAAAACCATAAAGAGATTAATTATTTTAAAGATATTTTGTAAATTACATTGTTTTTATCCGTTATTTTTAATGGGTCTTTCATTTGATTTATTTTATTTTTAATTAGATTCGTTGGTTTAAACGTGATGAGAATCTCAATATTTTTAATGTTTCTTGGAATTGTCTCTGATGTACGATTTTTGGATGGTGTTGTGATTGTTTTCTTGCCTTCCTTCTTCTTGTCATTCCCTGATTTTACCCTCTTTTTTCGTTTTTTATATTACCTGTAATTTTGGCAGTTGTTTTCGGGTAACATTTTGAATAGGACGTTTATTTTTTGCGCTATTCCTCTGGTGTTGTTGTAAGTCTACGTGTTCTGTCTGCAAGACCTCCTATTAATCCTCGTTTTACCGTGACTGGATAAGCTGAGTGATAATCAAGGAATCTTCCAGAGTGTGTAATTTTCTACATAGCGTCGTTTTTTATGTTACCATGTGTTACTCTTTGTATTTTGCGGTCTAACACAGGCAGTTCCTCAGTTTCATTCTCTATTTCCATAGTGAATTTTATTGAGTCGACATGACTGTTTATGTGTGAGAAGAATTTCTCAACATCGTGTTTTCCTCATTATTACTAATGTGTCGTTTACATATCTCAACCAATGCTTTATTGATGACCAAAATGGTTTAAGTGCATTCTCTTCCCAAAACTCCATGAATATGTCAGCTATTATTGGTGAGGTGAGCGATCCCATGGCTACCTGTTTCATTTTGTTGGTATATTTTTCCTTCAAATGTAAAATATGTTGTTGTCAGACAGAATCCCACCCCTTTTATTATCTCTTCTCAGGATAACTATGTCCTGTCTTTTAGGCCACTAACTTCTTTTAGTTTCGTTTTCAGTGCATTCATGGCCATCTGAATGAGTATTTTAGTATAGAGACTGACTAGTATTTCCTCTTCCTCTATTTTAGTCTTTTTTAGTCGTCTCACTAATTCAAATGAATCTACTATTCTAGCTTTTGAGTTCCCTCTTGTCGGCCTTAGTTTTGTTGGGAGAAATTTTGACAGCACATATATTGGTGTGATTTTAAGGTGTACAATCGGTCTTATTGGGAATCCTTCTTTATGCAATATTATCTTACCATATATTCTAGGCATATTACATAATTTTGGCATAATTTCAAACCATTTCGATTTACCAGTTACTTCTTTCATCTGCCTGATCACCGTTGCTGTTATTTTCATCGTTTTGTTTGTGATTGATTCTTATGAGTTGGCCATTAGGGTATACGGTACAGATTGTAAATGTTCATTCATCTTTTCCGTATATGTTGTTTTGTTAAGTATTACTATTGTGTTTCCTTTGTCTGCTTGAGTAGTGACAATGGATTTGTCTGCTTTTATGTCTTGAAGTGCTTTTAGTTCCTTCTTCGTTACACTTGGTTTTTCTGCTTTTTGTTTTTCAAAAAGTTAATACGTATTGTGTGTACACTGGTTTGTACATGGAGAAAGAAGACTTAATCAAACACACAAAATATGACTCTTCGTTCAGTGAATGTTATTAGGAAGTATGAGGTTTACAAAAGGTGAAGATTAGTACAGTTCACATCTTCATTCCCTTTATTCTTTACTCACCAAATGCTAGCTAATTACCCTCATACATTATGTGAAGCTCACTAAGTTTCTGTTATTCAAACTCCTGCTTCTGTTGAATATTTTATAATTGATTTAGTTTTTCCGAGTCAAGTTTATTTATTTGTATGGATTTTAAAGTATCTATTTTTTCCAGGGTAACCTTGAAATTCCTCTGATGTAATTTTCTTGCATAATAGTAAGTACAATAGGCTCTTCATAATTATCTTTCCTGTCATCTCCAGTCTTCCTTTTGTATTTAGCTTTCATCTGATATTGTCTTTGATAAATTCTACCGGATGGTGTATTTTTAGTAACATTTTGAATTACATGTTTATTCCTTTTTTGCCAGTTCTCTACGGATTTTTCATTAGCCTACGTAGTTTCTTTTTTTACCATGAAAAACACACTTTAGAATTTACAAAGCCTGAAGATCGAAAACCCTAATTAGGTTATATATTTTCTGGGTATGTTCTCTCTCAGCAGTAATTTGTATCAGTGAACTATTTTGACAGTGTAAAATAAAGTTAAATCGAATTTTATGTGGAAACGGGTTGTCAAAAATGGCTTAAAAAATGAACTTAGTCTGTTGACTTCACATTGTTCTAAAGCACAGTAGAGTATCATTGATATAAGTATAAAACTTAGGCACTGTGTTGGTAGAGTATAACTCCATTATGGATAAGATTTTATTTTGATATGTTACACAGTGTTATACAGTAATATTAACTGATGAGCAATAGGTTGTGCTCGAAACGTCATAAATGGGAGGAACCTGAAAGAAACAACCTCCTTTACCTACCCACCTCAAAAGCATTGTTTCAACTACAGTCGAGCGGAACTGACGAGGATATCAAATCAAGAATCGGAAAAGCAAGACAAACTTTCATTACTCTCAAGTCTGTGTGGAGGTCAACAGTACTCAGCATGAAAATCAAAATAAGATCCAGTTTTTCAACGCCAATGTGAAGTCAGTGCCACTTACCATACGGATCAGAGGCTTGGCGTGTCATAAAGAGCACCTCAAACAAACTACAAACCTTCATCAAAAGCTGTCTTTGCTCAATACACCGCTCAAGATCAGATGACCAGAAAAGTTCAGTAGCAGGGATCTCTGGCAATGAGTGAACCAACCAGGAACCGATTGTGCAACAAATAGGCAAGAAGAAATGGAGATGGATTGGCTATACTCTGAGGAAACAACCAAGTGACATCACCAGGCAAGCCTTCGAGTGGAAGCCAAAAGGGAAGCGGCGAGTTGGTCTTCAGTGTGAGGGTGACTTGGAGGAGGTCATGTGTAGAGATGAAAGCGAGTTGGAGTGGGGTGAAAACGTTGGCAGAGAACCCAACGCAATGGAGACTTGGGACTGAAGCCCTATGTTCCTCTAGGAATTAAAGGAAATAATAATAAATCTTATCCATAATGGAGTCAGGTATCCCCTTAATTTAATTTATCCGTCAGAAGTGAAAGTATTACAAATGTAATCAAACTGAAATCTAGTAATTCCTTATCAGAAATTGTGCATAAATGAAAGAATCTTAATAGAAATATAATCTCATGTGAAGCATCAACTGACAAATAACACTCATAAAATACATCAGTATACAGAAAATAAATAGCTTTATGCAATACATTTAATTCTTCTATTATGACTAACTTGCACACTGATAAAAGATGTTTCAGGAAATGTACAAAAACAACAACATAATTACAGTGTTCTTCGTCAAGAAGAAACTTCAGAGGGGGAAAATATAACACCAAAGATAAATCCAAAGGAGTAGACAAATTCAGCATGATGAGCGTCATTTCGACTAGAGAACAAACAAAAACATAAAACAAGTGTTAATTAACAGCGGTTCGATCGAGTGACAATTATCTGTTTAACTGACAAGTTTGACAATGAATGACCTTTTTGCTTCTTTCAACTCTGACCTGTATGCAGGATGAAATGGAGTACATGAGGAATGAAACTTAAAAACAGTCCCGACTTTATTTTCTTTAATTGTTATAAATGCCAACAAATACACAAATGTAATTGCACAATACAACTTTTATCAGGGCTTACCTTTTATAAAGCACAACAAAAAAGAAACAAAGAAACAGCACACTCTTCTATCATATTTAAGAAAGCAGTTGACCATTTGAACGCATAACAGCTTGTTAGACAAATATACTACTATATATAAAAATTTTTTTGATAAAATCACAGTTAGCATACATTATTGGTTATGTAAAAGATATTTCAATAATTCTATACACTTTGACGAAGATCGTCAACAAAAGTTTACTGAATTATTTTATTTTAATGTTATTTTATTTTCTGAAATGTTCTCCCGACTACTTTACTGGATGGTTCAGCGACTTTGTATTGTTGAAATTCATCAAAATTATCTGCATAGTTGTCATTGTTACTTGAAAAAGTGTTGATCACTTGTGAAGTATTTCTATCATTACTTATATATTGATTATTCATAATTTTAGTAACAGGGTTTGTATTTGTTTTTCCATCTATACTCATCATATAAATCTTATCATCCCATAATGGTAAACTAGACGCCAATGCTTGTTCCGACAAGGGGAATGATTGTTTTTCATTATTTGCAATAAATTTCATTTCATGTGATAAATAATCACATGGATCATGAGTGTTGTTCATTTGAGGCATAAGTAATTGTTCATTATTCATTGTAGAAGGAGTAAGACAAGCGGGATATTTTGAATGTGAACATACTGTTCCCTGTTTTGAATGTTGCAGTAAATTCATATTTTGATCGCTTACAGAACTGCATATATCGTTTAAGCTTCTTTCTGTTTGATTCTTTGAATTCAATATTATTACATTTCTACATTTTGATTTGTTTAACTTTATGAATTTTTGTATAATTAAAAGTAGTACTACGCCTATTATAAAGCCAATAATGACACCAATGAAACCAGAAAACAATAACTTCAACACATAATGTGTTATACGTTCATTTTCAAAGGGACATTGTCGTTTAACTGGTGTGTTTGACAGTAGTTCGGATGTGTTTGAAGTAATAGGACTTGAAACTCCTGTAGGAAAAAATGGAAAAGCAGTAGAATCCTATTAGTTGATAGTAATCGGAACGTTTTAATCACTTAATATTTGCTAACTGTAACATAAAATCACCATTTGTATGCATTTTGGAGGCAGATTATCATCACCATCTTCATTTCAACGAAATATTATACTAATTATTTTTGTAAGATCTCATTTGATTATCTCTGTAAGTATGTTTTTATTTTATAGGTCGGTAGCTTTGAAAATGAAAGTACTGCATTAATTTTTAACCCTTCTTTAGTTGCACAGAGTATCACTTCTGAAATCAATGCCAGACTACTGGAAATTTTGGAATAGATACCACCCTCAGTACTATGTAACTCAAAAGTCCCAACAGCAAAAGAACACACAGTAAACATCATCAACAAGGTAGGCAGTATCATTTGTCGGCATCAATTCAACTAGGACAATGTTTAAACCTTAGGCAGGAAAAAACATAAGGAACTCCAAAGAATTAATAGGGGTCTCCTGAAGAGTCTATCTGCAATTAATAGACGGATCTTTTATCTGTGGAGATTTCAGAAATATCATTTCGTATTGAAGTTATCGCTGAAAATGTTGTCTAGGAAAACAATGAAAGCTTCGCACTTAAACCATCCAGTCAAGAGGACATAACAATGCCAGATAGTGTGAAATTATTTCGCGACACATAGGCACAAATTATATTATTATTGTCTTCTTTTGTTCTTAGAAGGACGTAGGGCTTCAGCCGTTCTCTAGCAACGTTTTCACCTGGTTCCACGTCCGCCCACATGCTTTAATCTCCTCTTCACATGACCTTCTCCATGTCACCCTTGTACTGACGACCAACTATCAGCTCCCCATTTCGGTTCCACTTGACCATTGGCGTAACGTATGATGTCACTTGATGGTTTGTTTTCTCAAAGTATGGTCATTCCACCTCCATTTCTTTCTGCGTATCAGTTGCACAATCGGTTCCTGGTTGGTTCGCTCCCAGAGATCTCTGTTGCTGATCTTTTCTGGCCGGCCGTCTGATCTTGAGTATTGAGCGAAGATAGCTTTTGATGAAGGTCTGTAGTTTGTTTGAAGTACCGTTTGTGACGCGCCAGGTCTCTGATTCATGCAGTACCATTGACTTCACATTGTAGTTGAAAATCTGAATCTTATTTTCACTTTCATGCTGAGTACTGTTGACCTCCACACAGACTTGAGAGTAATGAAAGTTTGTCTTGCTTTTCCGATTCTTGATTTGATATCCTCGTCAGTTCCGCTCGACTGTAGTTGAAACAATGCTTTTGAGGTGGGTAGGTAAAGGAGGTTGCTTCTTTCAGAATTTTCCCATTTATGCTGGCTGATTGTTGTCTACTGTTATTGTTGTTGCTGTTGGATAGGAGTCTTCATCACCTCTGTTTTCCCTTTGTTCACCCCGAAGGCCTATCTTTGATGCTTCTCACGCCATCTTGTTGATTTTCACTTCTATATCTTTCAGTTTGTGAGAAAACAGACATAAATCATCGGCGAAATCTAGTTTCTTCAAGTTTCTTATGTGATTCCATTTCATGGCACACAACCAATGTTCAATAATGTAACTGTAGTCTCTTATTTATTTACTTCCAGCTTACCAAAGACAATTTCTGACGCTAATCCGTAAATCAGGATGAAGTTATACAAAATCTCATATATGTCATTAAAAAACCTGCAAGTTATTTAACCACCGTACTGTTAAACTTTTTCTAATGAATGATAGATAAGTAACTATCAATCACATCGTTTGGGAAAGTAAAACTTCCGGGTTTACGATCACATTCAATGATAAATGTCAATTTTTAATAATAAGAATAATAACAATGACACAACCGAAGTAGCACTTTAGGCTAATGACTGACAAAATGACATAGGACTTGAGTGAATGTACATTTTAACTGAAAAATAATTTCATAACAGAATAAAGCAAATGTAACGTATCTTTTATTCGCAATGATATGGAAATTTCTACAGCTAGACGTTTTTATTCAATTACAAAATATTTATCGCAATTATAAGAACCTTACCAATTTTGACAGTGAGTCACTGGATTAAGCAGTTACTTCCTTTTTAACCTATAATATATAATGTTGTTCTTTAGTCTGTTTATATTTTATATTTAGAGATTTTCAGGTATTGGATTTGTAGGGATTTTGTTTGATTGCATGGAGGAATTCATCATGAGCTGAAATCAGTTAGAGAACCACTTGAAAACCTGAGAGTACTGGACAGCTGTTTCGTCCAAGTTCGGGACTCTTCATCAGTATAACTATCTACAAAACTGCAGACATGATATGAAGGCTATGTGATTTCTACATACCCGAACTATGACTTCATTTTGTAAGCTACTAGTAAAGTTTTATGCACTCCTGTATTATGCCGTAAAATTGATTACCACATCCTAAATTAAGAGTGTCATAGACCCTGTGTCGATATTTTGATCGAAATGGTTTCTGTAGTCGCTAAATGTAATTCGCATTCTTCATAAATCACAAAAGCATTCAATATGAACTGGTGTTAACTTGACATTATTGCTAATGCAGTTTTCTTCCGAAGTCACTTTATGACCATAAACACGATTTTGTAAAATGATTTGTTTGATCAAGAAATACTTTTTTTCAAGTTTTGGTTTTGTAGGGATTGTGTTTTGATTGGTTGGAGGGTTTTATCATGAGCTGGCATCAGTTGTCAACCAATCAAAATACTTTTTCAGTTGACCATCTAATCATTTTATATTTATAAACAATCTAATTACTTCTGAAGAGTCCCAAACTAGGACGAAACAGCTGTCCAGTACTCCCAGGTTTTCCAATGGTTCTCTAACCAATGTCAGCTCATGATGAAATCCTGAAATCTAATTACTGTCAGAGCGACGAATTTATTTTATTTTTACTAACCAGTGCCAATTAATTTATGGACACCTCCTTTAAGGAACAAATGAGCACTCAACTAGCTCCTTCTAATTGTCCTAGTATTCTTCTCTTTGTTTATTAAATACACACACAGAGTGAAAATGTTGATAGAAAGTGGAAATATTTTCCATAGTTTTCAAGTTAGAAGAGAATCAAATATTCATGGTTAACGAAGGAAATTAACGCATACATCATAACTCAAAAAATGAGCTCAAAACTTCTTGGGATATTCAAGTGTTGGTTTGTAGGGATTTAATTGGTTACAGGATTTTATCATGAGCTTACAATCCCTACAAACCAACACATGAATATCAATGAGATGATCACTAGCGAATTGCCCTATTCAGGTAGGCAGGTTACCTGGGGTTCTGGTAAGAAGTAGTGACCAGAAGGCTGCAGCAGGTCGTGTGTGAGGACAAATACTCGCCACAGATGACATTAGCTAGGGATCGCGCTATGTCGTGAATTGGAAGAAGTTAGAATTCATGGGCTGGCCATTGGATCGGGTCTCAGTGACCTAATGGTCTACGAGCTGGCTGGCCATGTAACCAGAAGGTCCTGAATTGAACCACTGTGGGTACGTACTGATGAAGAGTCCCAAACTAGGACTGAGGAAACAGCTGTCCAGTACTCCCAGGTTTTCTAATGTTTCCCTAACTAATGTCAGCTCATGATGAAGTTCTCGGAATATTGTTCAGATGATTCAATTTCCGTATCAATTGCTTTTTGAAGAAATACTGGTGATAGTAATTATACGTTTTATTTTTAGCAATCAGTAGGAATATCATTTAACAATAAGATTTGTCAAATATGTTATACTGAAAAAAGTATACATTTCAATGCTGTTCAATACTAAGAATCAAATAACATTCTTACACGACTAAGACAGATCATTCCAAGGGAAGATATACAAACAAGATAACATAGTTATCTAGATCAAACTAAAAAGAAAGCTTGTATTATCATCCAGACGGGTTATTTCCTATTCAATATGTGAAATACATAATAATTTTAGACTTACGCTTGACATCGAAGTGGATTTTTGATTTGTCAACATCTAGGTCCTCACAACTGACATGGAAGCCAGTGATAATGTTACTCAGACTGAAAAAGTAGAAATATAAAGCATTTAAACTGTGTGTGAAAATGTGAATAAGGTTGATTTTATTAATTCTTTTGATGAACTTCATAATTTTTGTTAGAAATTAACACTTTATAGTTATACTATTTACGTGGAAGAAATGCAGGGATTGACAAGATAGCTAAAAAAAGTTTTGTATCCCAGCTTAGAGTTTAGACGTAACACTATGAGTGAGGTACTTCAAGGTTGTCTGACGAGATCATTGAGAAAAACGTTCTTTGCCTCCCTCTTACCCATAACCTACTATAGTAGTTCAACGGTGCGCCCTAATTTCAAGGACATGTTATCTCGATCGCCCGATTCCATGTATATTCACACGTTCACCTGCTCTTGCGGAGCTAGGTAGATAGGATGTTCATCGAGAAACATATCCCTCCACGTTCGACAGTAACTCCCAGTTTGACTGAGCAAAGAAGTACGTAGAGGTATTATTTCATAGATATTACATCATAGTGTAGATACTGACCACACAGCATCCGACACATCCTTTAATATAGTCTACAAAGTTCAAAAACGTTTGCCGAGAGTGACACGAGTGCATTTAATCTGTATAGAAGAGGCTTTAACAACACATAACATTAAGCCAGAACTTTTTTTTTACAACAACAGTTTACATGATCTTTTTAGTTACCACGATCTTGATTTTACCACGTAATTCACAGAGAAACTTTGTTATCCTTCTCTATTCCATCTCCCAATTTGGTTTTATTTTAATTCACTTTATGTTATCATATTTTAACATTTTATCTAGTCTACCATTTTGACAACATTTCACTCAACTTATGTCTCCATCACAGCATATTCCCATATTCACATTTCCGAATGTACCTTATCTTCCGATCACCTATTTCACACATGTCTACTGCTCTCAAGGTTGACCTCTATTTATTTAGTTAGTTACTCATTCATATATCCAGTTAGCTGTGCCTCATAATCCTATACACCAATATTGTTAGATCACTTTAGTATCTCCACTCACTGCCAAACTTTAACACGCACATATACGCACAAGCAAACTGCTTATTATTTTCTATTGAAATTCATGTATATATATATATGCATATTATATACGATTGTATATATATGAAAGTGAAATTGTCGAAAAGAGAATTTTCTTCGCTGCATTCCTTGTTTTTATGTCTCAATGGGGATTACTAATTTAATTATATTTTACATTAATTTACGAACACAACATAAAACATTTAATTTATGGATGGTAACCAGCAGTGGAATCCTGGTTGTGCGTTTCGTCCTATTTGGGACCCGTCATCTGTATATACTTGCATTTCCCAGTTAGTGATGATGTTCCCACCGAGGCTCGAATATAAAACATTGATTTGTATTGAATCGAATCTTCAGTCTGTAATTTACTGTCTTCTACGTGAAATTACACCACACTTTCCCTTGAAAACCGAAGCTGTTTAGATGGCAGTGTGTGATCTACTTTACACCATAAGTGATGATCAAGAAAACAAAAGTAAGATCCAGGATGCTACATGTTACTGATTGATTGATATGAGAAGTTGGTTACCACTCACATCAATCAGTATGGCTTGCTAGCTAGGTAGAAGTGATCTAACCATCTCATGGCAGTTTAGCTCATTTAAAGCCAAGCTTATCAACGTTCCACCCTGTTTAGCTCAACTCAGAAAGGTGAATCAGTTCAAGCCATTCGCTAAGCTGATGTTTGTTAAGTAAGCATTCTGGAACTTTCCATTCATAAGTGCTTTATCCCATTGATTGCACATTGTGTTGCTAATAAAAATATGTTTAAATATCGGACAGCAGATTTTAGCTTGATGTATACGAGAACAAGGTCTACAGTTTATCTTGAAGAATGACCTACTAAAACGTCTTATAATGAATCGAAACGCCTCCACTTTCATTTTTGGTTTCTTTTTTTGTATTTCTGTCAAATTTTGTTTCACAGTGAAATCTATCAGTTAGTCGAAGTCACCTCGACTAAAGCATGAATTTTAAATTAAGTCTGATCATCTGACACACTTTGTGGTTGGGATGAGTAAAAATTTTTTTTTATAGTCTCTCTTCTAAAGTGGGTTTTTAGAACATTTATCTTATATGAGAATAATATGTTCAAAGACATATGATGCCTAGTGTAATTATGAATCGTTTATTTAATATACTGGCCATTACTGTATCTAACTGTCTGTGTTCTTCATTTGCATCCAGTGTATGCCGTATCTTTAACTAGTCCCATTTTATTTCAGATAATGACAATTTTCTGTTTAGCAAAAGTTTGAATACAGGAACACTTGTGCATCTAAGAAACATTTAGAATATCCCAAGTTCATACCACTTGCCTAGCCTTGGTTAGATGAAGTACGGTTACGGTGAGAATTTTATTACCTTCAAGAAGTGGGCAAAAAAGAACTCAATATAAATATCATGTGTCATAACATACCCATCTGTGCTTGTATCACATTTTTGTAGTATTTCGTTCCAGTAACAGTCAGGATCTTTGAGTGCCACACATTCCCTAAAGAAAAATGAAAATGGTGAAAAGTGTTGTTTAAGTGCCAGAGCAGAAGAAAAAGTATCTTAGGCATACATAATTTTTTGAAATTATTTTATTATTACTATTGTGGTGAGAGCTGGGTGTTACTCAAAATTGATGGACAGTAATTTACGTCAATGTTTATGTCCCCAATATTGGTCGTGAGAAAAATGAGAACAAAATCTTTGCGTAGGCGGATACAGTTAGCATATAGATGATCTGACATTCAAGAAACAGCCACAAAGATATGCAAGGTTAACTTTCTGTGCGAAACAACCAATCAGAAGACTGTATTTTTTTGCTAACAATAATCTATAATAATGTACATGAAAATCTCTAAATATCTGTTGATTTTCTCAATAAACGATCTGCTGCCTGACTCTTGCCTTCTGTCGTTACACTATTACTTTTATTTCGATACCATCAGGTTTATTCGTACACTGAAGTAAGGTAAGGTACTAGGAGCAGATATGACAGTTACCGCACTAACATACTAGACTGAAGCTTATAAACCAAAAGAGGATTTTTTAACGTCTCTGACTCTTAAACAGATAAACTGTCAAGTGTTGTTTTACAGGGATTTGATTGGCTGCAAAATCCACCACAAGCTGACATGAGTTAAAGAACCATTGGAAAACCTAGGAGTACTGGATAGTACTTTAACCAATCAAATCTTCGTAAACCAATGCTTGACATTTAGTCTTATGCTCACTAGAGACTGATCCTCTACAGAAATTACTTGAAGTTCTAGTGAGAAGTCGTAACCAGTGGTGTCCACCAAATGGGGCAAGAGGACTGTTACTCACCAGTGACACTGATTGTCATTTGCACGAAACATATATAACGAACTGGCAGAGGTTGGAATTCGTGGACCACTGGGCCAGGTCCTGGTGGCTTAATGGTCTATGAACTCGCCTAGTAACCGGTAGGTCCTCGGTTCAAACCCCAGGACAAAACAGCTGTCCAATAACCCCAGATTTTCCGATGGTTCTCTAACTGATGTCAGCTGGTGATCAATCTTGTAATCAGATAGAGTTAAACTGCGTTTCTACTGAGCCACATGTTTACTTAAGGGAAATGTTTGTGGTAAAACTGAGGGCTCACAAAACTAAAAATTGATGCATTTAAACTATAGACAGTATTCCAGAAGAGGAGGAGAAGGCAAGAAATGGTTATAGGCATTCAAATGAACTGAAGCTTGGACATTTGGACAGTAGAAAATGAAAGTAAATCAGGATAGATAAACAGGTATGAGAAAAAGTGTAGTCTCAGTGATTAATTGAAATGTTCCTTTGTGTTTGTTTTAACCGTGCATCACTCGATCTGATGATCAAGATTTCATTCCATTTGATATACGGGTACATTTCTACCCAAGGAAATCAAACATAATTAGCCTTATAAATACTTATTCACAGGAAATCATGCTTCAGCAAAAAATAAATGAGTTGGAACAGAAACGCTGATACACTAATGTTCACCCATATGGCATAGGACATTACTACACTAACACAATCTCTTTTTGGCTACCTCGTGTATCCAAACTGATAATACCGGAATCAGATGATCTCATGAATATGATGTCGTGTTATTTTCAATTCCCTCCTTGAGGAGGGGCTTAGTGAAATAAGCTACAGTTTCTTAGAAAGCATGTATTTCTTCAAGCTTTACGATACATCTAATCATGTGCCGTAAAACTGTTATCCAGACGTTCGGATCAAGTTTATGTATTTCACTAATAGCTGGAAAGGCTGTCCTTGCAGACTTTAAAGAACTAGAAAAGTCTCATGACTGCCGAACGGTTACTGTCTCACTTTAAGTTCATCTTAGTTTTTTAAGTAGATATCTCACTGCTGGAGGAAACAAAAAGCAGCTGTGAAGTGTTCCCCTTAATTCGAAAGAAATTTGGCTATACTTTCCTAGGAAAACGGATTAAAAGCACTAAATCCCAAGATTATCATGTCCCGTTTATCCCTACAGAGGACTGCAACAAGTAGTAAGGGTTCTGTGAAGTCAACACTCCACAAACTCCATCGGCTTCTATAGGTGGTTCCTTGTGCACTTTCATTAGACTAGGCTATTACTCTTTCCTATTTTGGTCTCCCGATAGGAAGCTAAACTCCAGGATGCGGGTAGCCGAGAAGTACCATCTTCTTCCAAAAATAAGAATGTAGTAATTTTTCTTGATTCCTACACTGACTTCTATACAGTTTCTGCATATTCTCTCACGTAAAAGATATTTACTGTTCTTTTGAAACCACGCTACAGATTCCATGTTAAGGCTTCCAAGGTCGTACATGAAAAATCAGTTAATAACGTCTCATTAGCCAAAACTGTGATGTCTGGGGCGATGTAAGCATAATGTATCTCTGAATTAAGCACCAGAGACCAAAGTATGTTTCTTTACTTACTCCTGCCTAACCAATATGATAAAGTTCACCTTACAGGTAACAAGATATCCTATGTTTGGTATACATGGCTGTGCTGGTATAGGCATAGCACTAAATCAGAGTGGACAATTCTTCATGTTCAATAAAGTGACTAAACAACGTGGTGTTACTTGTTGAAAACTCTGAAAGATCTCAGTCACCCTCTGTTTTCAGAGCTTGGATATGGTAAAATGAGCACGTAGGTTTAATATACATTGACGGAAGGCAAATTAGAAAAGTCCCCTGAAGGTATCTGAGGAGTCATATGCAGATGAATCTACAAACTGGTTGTTCAAATAACAATTCGTTTCTCTTCAGCATTGATTTCAAAATAACAGAAAAAGACTGTCACACTTGGAAATAGTAATTCCATATTAGATTGTTTATAAGATGTATCACACAGGGAAACAGTAGTATTTACTAGATGACGTTTCGAACAAAATTTATTGTTCATAATCATATCAATTGTAATCACACGTCTTCGAAACTTCAATTTTATAGTTTCCTTTGTCCTCTCCTATTTTTCGTCGTTGGGGTAGTAGAATTTTCCAGATGTCTGGGTCAGGTGTTGAATCGTTCCTATTACATGTATTTGCTGTTGATTTGATAAAAAAAGCTTCGGTTATCAACCTCTCCCTCCACCCTGTGACATTAGATTTTAAAACTGTCATCCTATCCCATCCATCCTATTGTATGGTTGTGGGTAACTGCATGCAGTGAGTGGTATGGCTGAACTATTATCTAGATTTCTCATCTTATTAGGGTCAACCAATCTAGATTGCTGGGTTTTTATGTTCGGCTAGTCTGACTGCCCTTTGTTCTACTAGTTCGACCTATGTATTTGATCCGACAGTAATTCCAGCAGGGTATTAGGTAAACTAAATTGCTTTGTTTTAAAAGCTCCACTGGCCGGATACTTTAACCGACAAAGCTTGTTTCTAATTGAGTTTGTGGGTGGTTTGAATGCCAGTCACTTTTATTCCTGCGTTATTAGGAATTCTGCGCAAGGTTTCGGGGGTTCCTTCCCTGTGTGGAATTACTTCTGATGATTTTTATTCCTTATTGTTGGTGTTGTCATTATCTTGCACATGTTTGACAGGCATGTGGTTATCAATATTATTATTATCAGTTTTATTTTTACATTTTCCTAAATACTTCCTGATTATTTCATCAAAGTAATTATAGTTTCAAAGCTTCTCTTATATGTCTCCCTTCTTTTCTTTGGTACTACTTGGTTTTTTGCATTATTACTCAAACATTACACCAATCCTGTGTTTACTGACATAGAATGGGTTGGATGATCGAAAATCCAAATATCTGTTTGAATGTGTGAGTTTCCTGTAAACACTAGTGTTCAACTTCCCATCTTCTTTCCTTTTTACACTGCAATCTAACATTGGAAGCTCCTTTTCCTGACTTTTCAATTCATAAGTGAATTAAATTGCCTGCACCTTTGAGTTAGTGTGTTCAAAAAATTCTTCTATATCCTGTGTATGTGTCATCTACATACCTCCACCATACTTTGGGGGGAGGGGGTGAACATTTCAATCGCAATGTTTTCCCACCTATCCATGAATATATCTGCCGCAACCGGGGATATTGGTGATCCCATGGCAACTCCTTCAGTTTGTTTGTATATTTTCCCTTCGAATATAAATACTGTGGAAGTCAGGCATAGCTGCACTCCCAGCATTATGTCCTCAAGTAACACTTTCGTCCTAAGTTCGAGTTCTTGATCAGAAATGAGTTCATGTCTGACTGCCTCTATAGCCATATTTATTGGTATACGTGTGTATAAACTGACAATGTCAAAACTAACCATTTTTTCTTCGTTATCTAATCTTAAATTATCTAATCATTACATCCAGACAACGGGATGGGACAAAAAGAAAGTCTTATAACGTATTACAGACTGGTGTGAGGTGGGAACTGATAACAGAAGCTTTGATAGTTTAGTCAACTGAGAATACATGGAATTACGATTTTGGTTGTTTGGGATATTTTAGTACCCATAAAACAAGCGGTAAAGAACTGAAAACTGTGAAAACTAATTTCCGAAGTTGGGGAGTAAAATTTCATATGGTTGAAAGTAATAATGTGTGTGTGTAACACATCATCTATAAAATGGCATCATTACTCTCTAGACTCTAAACTGATTTCCATTTGTTGACTTCACAATCGTTGTATTTTCGTTCGTTTATTTTACATGCTTTATCTGAACTGTGGTAACTTGTACTTGTGAGCGATCAGTTGATGCTTTTTCAGTAAGCTGTCGTTGACAGTGTCCCGTTTAGAAGACTCACTTCAACATATGGCACATGAAAACTAAAATTTATTGATGTGAAGCATCTTATTTTAAATTTAAAATCATAAAGCCCAATAGTATTCATAAGTATTTGAATATTTTATTACCTCAATTGTGACCTTTTCAACTTTCAATGAAATAAAGCAGACAGATGGTAATAAATATCATTAATCAATTTTAATACAATTAACATTTCATAGTAGCGTTATTTTTCTCATATGAATATTAAAAAACTGGATTCGACCTATCAATAAATTGTGTTTCTTTTGTTATGGTCGGTCCATTTCAGTTTCATTTACTTTTTCCCAACACTTCACATATGCAAAAAATATCTCACTAAACTTCAGATTGCAAAAACATATCATTTACAGTGATTAATTGACTTGTAACTATGGGAACAGACAAAACAAGCGGCCAAAAAATATGCAGGAAATGGAAAGTGAAGATGGATTGGACACTCGCTGAGGAAGAGTCCGCTGGATGACATCGCGCGTCAGGCCATTGCCCGAGTGGAACTAGGCCGAAAGGGAAGCGGCGAGTGGGACGTCAGTGCAAGGATGACATGGAGGAGATTGTGTGAAGAGGAGTTGAAACAGTATGGACTAAGATGGATGCAGGTGAAAAGTACAGCAGGAGCAAGACAGAAGGAAGTGGAGACGTGCAGTTGAAGCCCAAGTTCCACTAGGAACCCAAGAGAACAATACTACTAATATAATTGACTTGTAGCAGAAGTGCTTAGTAAGTCAAATGGAATGTTCACTAACTGCTGCACTTCTCATTGACTTTTCACAGCTAAAATGAGTCGACTGCTTTTATAACAATATAAAAGTGACATCGCGATTATGGAAATATCAACTATCTTGGAATCTAAAACACTAATACTAACATTGTATGATGGTACTTTGACAAACTTTTAAGAGATAGTGAATAATCACTCTATGAAGAACTAATAGGATGCTTTTTTCCGCTTATTGAATAATCACCGAGATTATCTTTCTTCATTCTACAAAGGCTTTCAGAAAATAACGGAGTTTCAAGTATTGGTTTGTAGGGATTTGATTGGTTATAGGATTTCATCATCAGCTGACATTAGTCAGAAAACCATTGGAAAACCTTGGAGTACTGAACAGCTGCTTCGTCCTAGTTTGGAACTTTTCATCAGTATGCACCCACCGGGGTTCGTGACCAGTAGGGTACAGAAGGTCGAGTGTGAGGACAAATACTCACCGAAGACATTGGCTAGGAGTCGCGCTATATCATGAATTGGCAGAAGTTAGAATTCATGGACTGGTCATTGGATAAAGTCCCAGCGGCTTAATGGTATACGAGGTCGCCTTGTAACCAGGTCCTGGGTTCGAACCTTGGCGGTAGGTGCGTACTGATGAAGAGTCCGAAACCAGACTGGCGAAACAGCTGTCCAGTACTCGCAGGTTTTCCACTGGTCCTCTAACTAATGTCAGCTCATGATGAAATCTTGTTACTAAGTGAGTTATTTAAAACTTTTGTTTTCCAGAGATAGTGTTTCAACTGATTGAATTTTCCACTTCCTCAATCATATATTTTTTAAGAGTGATTATAATTTTGTGATTATTTTCATTGCCATTATCACCACTTTTATCTTTCTTTTTCTCCTCAGTTGAATTAGGTTTATCTTCTGATATCACATTTGTATTATAAGGTTTTTGCAACCCAAGCAAATTTAATTCACATGAACTTTGACCCAAGTACGATCTAATACATCCACGGAAACTGCACGTAAAGTTTCAAGTTGACAGAGGAAAAATCTGTGTTTGTAGAGACCTTAGTCATTTTAGAATCAGGCATACTACAGTTTTATCAGACAAAATGTTCTGAATTTCTTCAAGGGAATATTCAGATATTAATATATCAGGGATACGTATACATATATATTAAAGAAAGGCCATGTGTTTTAATCAATCTACTTGCCTAAGTGTAACTCAGTTTTTGAAAAAGAACTGTTAGTTGTATGCTGCTTATGGAAAACGATCAACTACACGTAAATTTATGGTTACGTAGAATATAATGTAAAATTAAGATTAAAACTGAAATATATAGACGTCTGAATCTGCATTACAGATGATAAAATAATAGATTTTTTTTGTAATAAATTTGGTCACAAAAATAGTAAAAAAAGAAAATCTACCACACAAATCAGTTTTCATGGGCGACTCCAGTTTCTTGGTAATATACAAACAACTCTAACAAAATCTACACAGAAGTATCCTTTTTACTTTTACGATGATCATATAAGAGTGAACTTCTGCGAGTTCACACTAGATAACTGTATCGTCAAGATAGGGTCTCATGAGCTTTGTCGCTATAATGTTTATTATATTTAACCACGTAAACTCCAAGTGAAATTTACCGATTTCATAATCTGAAATTCCTGTTTAGCCCTAATTTTTTTACTTCACATTCCCAGTAGGACATAGGGTCTCAAGCTGGTGGCTTGAGGTTTCTGTAGCAGTGTTTATTTTCACAAGATGGGGTTGCTAGCCTCACGCCAAACCTTTCCTCTTTACTAGCATTATTTCTGGCTTAGTGAGGTGAAGGAGTGCGTCGGCCGGAGATAGGACGCCGGACCATGTGAATGGTCGGCGAGCGTCCTAACTGCTGTGCCACCAACACACTGTTTACCCCTCTGACATGAGATTATTAATGAAACAAATATTATCAAAACTTTATCGTCTAGACTTGTAGCTTAATATTATTCAAACTGAGTTATGACATTTGTAATAAATCAAATTTATTGATAAATTCTTATCGAGAAACCCTTTCAAACGTGGTGGTTATAATGTGAACAATCAATCTGTAGTAACACATATTTTACATTTGACTTGTGCCTTCATTTGGATTCCCTCTTGTATAATCTAGATTTTTTAAATAACTGACATTTTTAGATTGCAATTAATGTTTGTTTCATCATTTCAAGAAACTGAATTCGTGACCTAAACATTTATTTCACTTACGATAAAATGAAGATTGGTCACGGTTTTCATTCCAAGCTGACTTAAGTTAGATAACTATTGAAAATCTATGGAATACTGAATAGCTAGCTCTGCTGGTCCAGACTTCTCCCCAGAACTTCAAATAATTTCCTGCCTAGAACCAGTGGGCAATGAGAGCATCAGATTAATTTTCAAGTACCGGTTTACTGTGACTTTTTCATTGGCCACAGACTTGGTCATGAACTGATATGTTTTAGAGAGCCATTGGCAACTTTATCCAGTTCTAAACTCTGAATAAAAAATAAACTTATCTATTGTGAAATTTGCGTCGGTGGCACAGCGGTTAGGACGCTCGCCGACCATGCATATGGTCCGGAGTTCAATCCCCAGCCACAGACGCACTCCTTCACCTCGCTAAGCCAGAAATAATGCTGGCAAAGAGGAAAGGTTGGACAGGAGGCTAGCAGCCCCAGCCTGTGAAAATAAACACTGCTACGGGAACTTCAAGCCACTGTCTTGAGGCCCTATGTTCCACTGGGAACGTCAAGTAAAAAAAATAAAATAAAATTGTGAAATTGTCTTCCACCAAAGAGCCGAAACTTCAATCCTACACGAGTTAGTATATCAATTATTTTATTTAAAAGAATCTAGCTTTATTAAAAATATATCTAACTGTAAACAAAACATGGTTTTATGAAAATAAATATCATTTACTTAGCTTACTTGCAAGTTTTGAATCGATCACACTGAGTTACTTCAACTTGTATAATATCAGCTTGATTAAAAACTAACAGAAAAAATTTATCCATTGCGGAATAGGTGAACTGTTTATCACTGGATATGATTTCTGTTGTACGATTCAAGAATGAATTATAAATAAATAAAAGATCTGTGATTTTTTCGTTTGTCGTTAAAGTTGTCAAATGTCGAAGAAAACGAATATTTCCAGTAGATACAATGGATGAAGAGGAGTATGGAGTGTTAAAATACATAGAATCCGTAAATCCATCAAGACTGTGATTTCCCAAGAAACGATTGGTTGCACTGGTGGAATGCTGAGAGAAATTATCTTCAACTTCATTGAATAGTAACATTTTGAAGACATCACCGTTATCTGAAATCCATAATCAACAAAATACTATTCTTGAAAAGTATAAGTGTAAAGCTGTACGTGAATACTGTTATTTCTTATATTATGCGACAAGAACTACTTGCACACATGTGCCAGTGTCATTGCTGGAAACCTTTCAAAATACAGTATCCTATTGTTAAATATTAAGTTAGCGAACTTTCAAATCTAACTGTCGATAAACGAACAGTTCCCGTAGAAACTCACCACATTACATGATACATATGACACACTGACATAATTATCAGACTCCTTTGAATGATTCGTTTTAACACGGAAATGTATGTTCCAAATGTGAAGGTTATACACTATGATTGATTTTAAAAGTTGAGAAGCTTAAATTAACACAGTGGTTTGGTGACTTACCATACTGTGAAGTAGGATTTATACTAATGTGTTAAGATTTTTACCACAAAATCCTATTTCATTGAAAAAGAAAGTTTCAGACGTTGAAAAATGTAGTTCAGCATACGAGATATTGGGTGGATTTTAAGTCTGATCACGTCTTAACATCATTCAAAGAACCATAGAAAACCAAGGAGTACTTGATAGCTAGCCCAAGACTCTTTGGCAATGCGCACCCATGATTCTACCTAGAATCGAAGCGCTTATTGAAATCACGCTTCACCCACAGCGTCATAAATATCTTCAATTCGTCTTAACTTTAATGCACCACGAATAAGTGTTGATACATAGTTTGCGTCTAACTGTTTTACGTAAAATTTAGCAATAAGTGTAACACTAGTAGTGTGTTTATACCAGGTTCTAGACTTCACCATTCCATCATTTAATCTAACTCAAAGTCAAGGCTTTTGGTCGCTTTTTAGGTCACTTCAAATCTTATGTATAGGCATTTGTGTTTGACGAATCATAATATTCGGTTGGCCGAAATTCCTCTTGTATTGATTTCTGACTTTCAAAACGTTACAAAAGCACAGTTTTCAGTGATATTTGTATTTTGCTATATTTTTCTATTACATTTGGTCACTACTAAATTGCATCCATTTTATGAGATCTGTTTTAGTTGCATATATTATTATATTATTATTTCCTTTAATTCCTAGAGGAACATAGGGCTTCAGCTACGAGTCCCCATTGCGTTCGGTTCTCTGCCAACGTTTTCACCTATCTCCAAGTCTGCCCACATGCTTTCATCACCTCTTCACATGACAACCTCAACGTTATCCTTGCACTTACGACCGAAACGCTGCTTTCCATTCGGGTTCCACTCGATCAATGGCGTGGCGTGTGGTGTCACTTGGTGGTTTCCTCGAAGTATGGCCAATCTACCTACCTCCATTTCTTCCTGCCTATTTATTGCACAATCGGTTCCTGGTTGGCTCGCTCCCAGAGATCTCTGTTGCTGATCTTTACCGGCCGGTCATCTGATCTTTAGTATTGAGCGAAGACAACTCTTGATGAAGGTCTGTAGTTTGTTTGAGGTGGTCTTTATGACGCGCAGTGCAAGTCTCTGATCCATATAGTAAGTAGCACTGACTTCACATTGGAGTTGAAAATCCGGATCTCATTTTTCATGCTGAGTGCTGTTGACCTCCACACAGACTTGAGAGTAATGAAAGTTTGTCTTGCTTTCCCGATCACTGCTTTGGTATCCTCGTCAGCTCCGGCTGCCTGTAGTCGAAACGATGATTTCCAGGTAGGTGGGTAAAGGAGGTTGTTTCTTTCAGGTTCCTCCCATTCATGCTGACTGATTGTTGTATGTTGTTGTTGTTGCTGTTGGCGCTGGCCAGGAATCTTCATCACCTCTGTTTTCTCTATGTTGACCTGAAGTCCTATCTTTGATGCTTCTTCTGCTAGCTTGTTGCTTTTCATTTGCATATCTTCCAGTTTGCGGGAAATCAGACAAATATATCATCGGCGGTGTCCAGATCCTCCAAGTTTTTGTGTGAGTCCATTTTATGCCCGTGTCCTCATTGCCCACTGTTTGTCGCGTTATCGAATCTACTGCAATCAGTAAAATCATTGGCGACAGTAGGCAGTCAGCTTGTCTTACTCCTGTCTTCACTTTAAAGGATTTCGTAAGTTTCCCGTTGTGGATTACTTGGCATACAGTATTGTCGTACAACTGTTGGATGAGATGTATAATTGTCGGCGGCACCCCGTGGTAGCGGAGTAATTTCCAAATCATATCTCGATCGATTCTGTCGAATGCCTTTTCAAAGTCGATGAAGTTGAGATAGAGAGGTGACTGCCATTCCAAGCTTTGTTCAATGATGACTGGTAGTGTGGCTATTTGATAAATACATGACCATATACGTGTCTGGAAGTGTAAAATTTCTACAATTATAGTTCTATTGGATGGTTATGATAAACACAATACAGGCAGAAACGCAGAAATTGGCAGTTATGCGAATACGTATTCAGATGTAGCTCTGCCTTCGATTTAGTCTTTTTTTAAGAGCACTTGAAAATAAATAAAAATAACTAGTGAATTTTCACACTTGAAATTTATCCGAATCGATCCATCTCCCCATTTCATAACATTTTGCCATCCAAACTGTTTAACCAATGGTTTAAAACTGCTATAATCTTTAAACTAAGAAGAGTGTTTGTTTGGTTCACCACCAGTGAGTGTTTTTAACAGAACCCGTTAATAAGAAATGGTTCAATAAGTATATCATAAAGCAATACATGAAAATCCTGAAGACTGTGAATACACTCAAAATGCGAAAGCTAATTTTTGGAATTTATGCCAGTCAATTTCCAATGTTTGTTTACACGATTTAAAACAAATTTAGCTTTAAATCTCCTTACCAGCATATCTTAAAATTTATTCTGGTATATTCTTCAGCTGATACAACTACAGCAGTGCTTAAAAGTGCTTAAACTCCGTCGCACTACATTTGACTGTTCTGGTTAGGGTGTAATAGTAAGTGTTTACTTAACATCAACAGTCAAAACCATCAAATAATAAAAATGAGCACCAGTCAGCATCAATGGAAGAAATTTGAAGCAGGTTACTTCTTTCAATTATCTAGAAAGCCCGGTTTCAATCACAGCCGATGGAATGGATGAAGATGTCAAAGCCAGCCAACCAGCCAGAATGGGAAAGTGAAGACACAGCTTCATGAACTTGAAACCAGTTTGGAAATCTTCTGCTTCACTCAGCCAGCATAAAGAACAAGATTTGGATTCTATTCAACACCAATGTTAAGTTGGTTAGTCACTTCTATCTTCTTTTATACGGGTCAGAAACTTGCACTGCATGTCACAAAAAGGATTTCCAAAAAAATAAAAAATAAAACTTTTATCAACAACTGCCCACTTCTCTGGCTCCATACTGAATAGTGAAATGGTCGGTCGGCCTGCCAGAAAGAATTAGCAAAAAGAAACTGTGGCTGGGAACAAACCAACCGAGTAAGAGCCGATTGCCCAACAAATATGTAGCAGAAAATGGAGATGGATCGGACATACGTTGACATCGAATGACATCGCTCAATGCAGGTCATCGCTTGAGTGGAATCCAAAGGGGGAAAGAAGAGTGAGTCTTGGGTGTGAGGGAAACATGAAGGTGCTGAGAGATTAAGGGTCAATCGGGGAACCAGCAGAAGACGGCAGCAGATAATAGAAGAAAGTGGAGATGTCCTGTTGAAGCCCTATGTTCCACTCAGAACCCAAGGGAATAATAATAATAATAATTCACTTCACATTAATTTACAATAAGCAGTATTCAGACTTACTTGTGCCAATATAAAATATAGTATATCGAATATGTCTAATTTGATTTGGTTGTGTTTTGTCTTTGTATACTTTTGAAACATGTCGAGGATCTATAGTAAATGCTGATATCCGTGAACGTGTTTCTATTAAACCAACAATGTCTAATCTTTCAGGATAAACTGAATCAACCAATAAAGATGCCTCCAGTGCCAGGCGTTTGTTCGACGCATACGAACCAGGACACTTTAAATGACAAGAAAGAATTTAAAAAAGAATTGACGTAATCATAATTAAAATCATCTCCTTAGCTGGCAATTATTTTCTTTAAGTCAATGAAAGCTCATTTGCAGTAACTATTTTATATCGTTTCTAAAGACCCAGTTTTTATTGTACTTTATTAAACTAATAGCCATATAATGATTTAAATAACGTATTTCAAAATGAATGATTATTTGAATAATTAATTACATGCGTTTTTCTTTATTCATTTGTGATATAGAAGACATTCCATAAGTTAGAGTGTAAGTTCGGAATCTTCCTGTACACACTGATTTAAACATTTAAAAGTGTCGGAAAAGCCTTGTGATTTGTATTGATAATAATGAAGCAGATGCGTTTTCTGGTCCGGACAGCTTCCCTGTGAAGCTAATACTTATCTTCTAGACATCTTTAACATTAACTTCAAGATGAAATGAGCTTACAGAAGAATTCCCTAAAGATGACTTGAACCGCAATGGATATCTCTTGGAATTTTCTTATACTCGGGTCCATTTCTATTATTATTATTATTCCCTTGGGTTCCTAGTGGAACATAGGGCTTCAATGACACGTCTCCACTTGCTTCTGTCACCTTCCACTGTACTTTTCACCTGCATCCATCTTAGTCCATACTGTTTCAACTCCTCTTCACACAATCTTCTCCATGTCAACCTTGCACTAACGTCCCACTCGCCGCTTGCTTCCCTTTCGGCCCGGTTCCACTCGAGTGATGGCCTGACGCGCGATGTCACCCAGCGGCCTCCTCAGCAAGTGTCCAATCCATCCCCACTTTCCATTTCCTGCATATTTGTTGGTTGGCGATTGGTTCGAGCCCGCGCCGACGCACATCTGATATCTATGGTCGGCCTGCGAAATTTGGGCTACCGATATCCACGCTGAAAATTCCATACTTGTACCAAAAATACAGTGTGGAATCAAGCTGTAAATAAAAAATAAAAAAAATAGAATGATGAAGATTTTCAGATTGGTGTTGTCAGGTTGGTGGTGAATGTGTTTCTTGCCTTCCCGATTCCCGCTCGATTTGACATCCTCGTCCGTTCTGACTGCCTGTAGTTGAGACAGTGCTGCCTCTCTAGATGAGTGAATGAAGTGACCTCTTTCAAATCCCTTTCGTTGATGGTGATTGGCGCTGGATGTTGCTGCTGTTGTTGTTGGTTGGTTATTTTCATCACCTTCTACTTGTCTATGTTTACCTGGAGTCCTGTCTTCGTCGGCTGCTTCTTCGACCAGTTTGTCGGTTTTCTCTTCTAAGTCTTCGATTTTGTGTGACATCAAACATAAATCATCCACGCGCGAAATCCATGTCTTCTAGATTGTTCACGTCGGTCCAGTATATCCCTGTCTTCTCTTTTCCCACTGTTTGATGTATAATCCAGTCCACCATAGTTAGGAATATCATTGGTGATAATAAGCAAGCACCCTTGTCTGACTCCTGCGTTTACTCCGAACGCCTCGCTGAGTTTTCCGTTCTGGGTGACTTGACATGTGACGTTGTCGTACAGCTGTTCAATAAGGTTGATGAATATTTGGGGTACGGAATTTTCTTATACTTGTGTCCATAGGTATTGGAATAAATCATTTCATTGATTTTTTCGTATGACTTCTTTTCTGTTATTTGATAAATCTGATTCATGTTAATATTTCTGTCGTTTGAGGACGTGTCTGAGTACAAGACTTCTGGGGAAATCCTCGCATTCTCGCTATCTCCTTTTCAATCAAATGGGTGTCCATAGTTACACACATGTATATCAGTGTGATTGGACGAGGACAGCTAGATAACATTCATGATATTGGAGGAAAAGAGGAGACATCTGAAGAAATATGCATGATATAAACTCTGCGATGAAGTTTCTACGTTAAAACACTTAGATAATAGTTATTACGTATTCAGAAATGCTGAGAAATCGATGCGTCTAATGAGAAATCGTTAAATAGATACGTATGTGTTTTGCATTCATTCAATGATGAATTATACTTTTAAAAAAATAATTTGTTATTGTCACTTTTCACTAATTACAGAATACAAATGAATACATTTTCGACAGCCGAAACCTCTGGTCGATTTTTTCTATTAAGGTATCTCAAAACAACCTGACTGTGAAATGGCTATAAATCATGCTTAACTGAAATAAATTCATTTCGAAAGATTGATTATGATATCGGTGATGTAAACCAATTTGCTCAACTCTTTTATGTATTCAAGTGTTGGTTTGTGGGGATTTGACTGGTTTACAGGATTTCATCATGAGCTGGCATCAGTTAGAGAACCATTGGAAAACCAATCGGGAGTACTGGACAGCCATTTCGTCCTAGTTTTGGACTCTTCATCAGTACTCACCCACCGACAGGAGGTTCGAACCCAGGACCTTCTGGTTACAAGGCGAGCTCGTATACCATTAAGCCACTGGGACCCGATCCAATGGCCGTTCCATAAATCCTAACCTCTCCTTATTCATGACATAGCACGACCACCAGCCAATATCTTCGGGGAGTATTTGTCCTCACACCCGACCTTCTGCACCCTACTGGTCACGACTTCTCACTGGAACCCCAGGTAACTACTTACCTGAATAGGGCCAGTCGCTAGTGAGCATCTCACTGATATTCAAATGTTGGTTTGTAGGGATTGTCAGCTCATGATGAAATCCTGTAACCTTTTCATGTATATTACTTAACACATTTTACTGCAAAAAAAGTAAAAAGTGATTATCATTAGGCACATTAATATTAAAACCTTTCTGCAGATTCATAATTCCTTAAATGATTTTGTATGTCCCCCTACAACACTTGTTGTACTTATTTTGGAAAGACCAAGTGGATTTGGATTTATAATTGATGATGTAATAAATAACAGAGAAGTGATTGCCTTCTTCAGGACGATTAATTTCTAATCACATTCATATTATCACCTTTATTATGTAATAAATTTAGTAATTGTTATTTCTTACTACTAAAACAAGATTATAGAAGTGGGTTTCTTGTTTAATCAGAATAATTACTAAGGTGGATAGATATCATTTTAAGTAGTCTTACTCACTCTTACACCTGCTCTCATATAAAATGTTCATAGGAATTCTCAATATAACTCCATTACAGATAGGATTTTATTTTGATAAATTACACAGTGTTGTACAGTTATATTAACTGATGACGTTTCGAGCACAAATTATTGTTCATAATCATATCAAGTTACTCACACAACTTTCTTGCTTCATTTATATACATGTATGGAATATACTAGATAATTAAATAAATATCAATATAGGATAATGTACATTCAGAAATAATAATGAGTGTTATTGATCAATTACAATCAGATGGGAAATAAGACGAGTGTTTTTATAGTCAAGATGAGTAACTTGTTAGAATGTTGTGATGTGCTTGAACTGAAATAGGATTTGAGATTATTTACTATCCTCCTCTGATTTGACTGGCAGTAATAATATCTTCCATATTTCTGGTATTTGCATTGAGTCATTTCTGTTACATGTGTTGGGTGTAGACTGGATGAACCAAGATTCAATAATCAACCTCTCTCTATCTCCACCTGCCTATATTCCTTCTTAGAATCCTAATCCTCTCCCACCATGCTATTGTGTGGTTATGTGTTAATGTATGTGGTGCAATTGCTGAGCATTTTTAAAATTACTTATCTTCTCGGGGTCAACCATTCTGACTTAGTTAAATTCGTATGTTCTGACAATATGATTACCCCCAATCTACTAGTTTCACCTATGTAGTTGACTTAACTCACAGTCATTCCAAGGTATTTTTAAATGATATTATTTTGTTTACTTGGGTTCACCGGGTCTTTTAGCCTACAGAGCTTGTCTCTGAGTGGGTTTGTGGGTTTGAATGCCACCCGAATTCCTGTTCTATTTAGAATCCTACGTAGAGTCTCAGATGTACCCTCCTTATATGGTATAACAGTAGACGACTTACGTTCTCTCTTATTTATGTTATTATTACTAGTTTCACAAATATTTTTATCTTTTGTTTGGCCTTTTTTGATCTTCCTAATGGATTTTAAAGGATAGTTATTCCACACCAACGCTTCTTCTATCTGTTTTATTTCATCACTTAGGTCTTTTTTTGTAAGACTTGGTGCTATGGCTCGGTTTGTTAAGCACTTAACAAAGCCTGTCTTAACAGTTACGGATGAGACGAATTAAAGTCTAAATAGCTATTAGAATGTATTGGTTTTTTATTCCCTCTACTAATGAGTTTACATGTCTCAAGAAGCTAGAGATATGTTCTGTTTTTAACACGGTAAAAGTGTCATCCATATATCTCCACCATATTCCAGAGTAAGATTAAATGTATTAAGAGCAATAATTTCCCAACTGTCCATAAATATATCCGCTAGGATAGGGGATATTGGTGATCCCATGGCTTCACCTTATGTTTGGCTACATATTTTGCCTTGGAATTTAAAGATAGTAGATGTGAGGCATAACTGAATTCCTAAAATAATTTCTCCAAAATACAGTACATATATATATGTACACTTTTAGGGTTAAATATAAGTTTCTAAATCAAATATCTCCATAAAGTGAATTCCCCAAGTTAAGTCAGAACACACAAGTCACGTCTTCCTTGGTAACTCGGTTGAGCAGCACACCAGTTATCCCTGTCAAAAAGCATGATATCTTATGTTAGACAGAGTCAAAATTACTAAAACCTAATAAAGGTATGGAACAATTAAATAGTCAGACCAAACTCTTGATCTCAAACCTTCAAAGCTTTCGGATTCAGATGTCTTGCATAAACACATTTCTTGAAGCAGATTTTGTCTTTAGCTTTGAGCATTTAGACCTTCTTAGTAAATCGCATTCTAAATATCAAACTGATTCAAAGAGAGATGAAATAAGTGAAAGCCTAGTTTATAAAATTAAAAAATTCCTAGTCTTGAGTACTTATTCTTCTAAATTTGTAGAGAGAATCAGGGTAGTAAAATAGCACTATGTATGGTGCCCATTTTGAAACGATAGTGAAAATCAGTTATCTCAGTGGCTTGAAAAGTCTTTCTTTTCTGCTTGATATTCTAGTATTCCACTGACCATTTGTTCTATTGCTGCATCGAATTTCTTCAATGTCTATCTATTAGTGTATTATCAGAGGAGAAGTGAGGAACTATGATAGAATATAATCCTATAATAGAATTATTTTTGATATGACAGTGAAATACGAAATCTTCAAGTATTGGTTTTGTAGGGAACTGTTTTTTGATTGGATGCAGGATTTTATTATGAGCTGACATCAGTTAGAAAACCATTGGGAAAGCAACAGTGAGTATTGGACATCTGTTTCGTCCTAGTTAAGGACTCTTCATCAGAACGCACTCGCCGGGGTTTGAACCCGGAACCTTCTGGTTACAAGGAGAGCTCATAGACCAATCTGATTCTCACTAGCGACTGGTCCTAATCAGGCACTTAACCTGGGGTTCTAATGGGAAGCCGTGACCAGTAGGGTACAGCAGGTTGAAGATGAGGCAGTAACTCATCGAAGAAGACATTGCGAAATGGCCTCTCTATGTCGTGAGTTGGCAGAAGTTAGGATTAAAGAACCATTGGATCGGGTCTCAGTGGCTCAATGGTCTACGAGCTCGCCTTGTGACCAGAAGGTCCTGGGTTCGAACCTCCTGTGGTGAGTGCACACTACTGAAGAGTCCCAAACTAGAACGAAGAGGTTTTCCAGTGCTCACAGGTTTTCCAGTAGTTCTCTAACTGATGTCAGCTCATGATGAAATCCTACATGAAATACAAAATCGTTTACTGATAACAGCGTGCAGTTAAATTAAAATAAGGTGCTTTTTGAATATCAGTCCAAAAATCTTTGACAACGCCGTAAGACAACGCATGTTTCCCAGAATAAAAGGAAATTGTTTTATTTCACTGGATTATCTACAACTGCCTACAACCTGAAGGTATTAAAATGGATGATTAAAGAATAAATATAAACATAAATATGAACTCTGGATGAAATTCTGATGTTTTTATCACTCAAACTTCAAACCCAGACAAACAGAGCACAGTGTTTAAATGACATTAACACGAAACCTTAACATTTGCGCTTATGTGTATGATAAGAGAGCAAATCTTTTAAAGTGAATAATTATGGGTTTACTGTTCAATCAAGATAATATATACACATGAACTATGACTGCAGAACTTAGTGCAATGTTACTGCTGATGTGATATAAATATTTTAGTGTATAATCAGTTAGTACAACGCAAATGAATATTAGTGAATGACAATCACTCAAAGTCATCTTGCTATTTTTTTAACTGATGGTGACAATCTGATATTTTTCCCTTTTTAAATGAACTCAGAAAACTTAGTGTTTTACATTAAGAGTTCAACGTACACCTAGTCCTACAAAATTATCACTTTTGTGTATATAAAACTTTAAATTAGCAGTGATGTTCAAGGATCCTTAAAACGAAATCAAATATCAGTTGATAATGGCCTCGCCTTGATTACTAGCTCGCTAGTTTTCTAGCCGGTCCCAAGCCCAGATAAAGAGGGAGGGTTGGGGCGTGGTGTTAGCAACTCCACCCCGAAAACTTAACCAAACTGCTACAGAAACTTCAATGCATAAAAATAATAAAAGTTGATAATGACAAAGGTTATGATATTTTTCTCTGCCTGTTTTCACTTTAAAACATTACAAACTTACTTTAGTAATATTTTTTAACTGAGGATACTTATCACGATTTATGCGTTTAAATCCACCTGTTAATCTTGGTGCAACACGACCAGATATATAACTTTCAATATTTACATTGGAATGGTTTTCAAATGATGATGATGATGAAGTATCTCTTAAATGATATGGAAAGAATGATGGTAAGCGCATTATTAAATCACTAGATTCTATAGTTTTATCCACTGTAGACAATTTATAAATGCATAATGCTAATGGTCCAGAAAAGACTAAATTGTTTGCCAAATTTGCTGGAAGTTCATCGTCTAATTGAGGATCACGTGACGAGAATAAACCGTAGAGGATTAAGTCATTGCTCATTTCCGGTGAATAACTAGTTGACAGTGAGACTAAATAATTGAAATCACGATTTGTAGATGATATTCTGGTTCAAAGGTAAATAAAAATATATATACACATGTAAAAAGAATGAGGAAGGTGAATAATTATATAACAGAAATTATGAATTGATCATGGATTGATATCAGTTAGAGATATCATTGAAAACCAACTGGGAGTACTGGACAGCTGCTGTTTCATTCTCGTTTGGGAATCATCTGCTCTACACACCCACCGTAGAGGTTTCAAACCCAGGACCTTCCAGTTAAAAGGTAAGATTGTATACCATTCAGCCGCTGGGACTCGATTCAATGGCTCATGAATTCAAACTTCTACCAATTCGTGATTTAGCGCTACCCCAACCATTGTCGTTGGTGGGGCATCCATCCAAACACGTGACAACTAATTGGACAACACTCACCACGACTTCTCACTAGAACTCCAGGAAACTGCATCCTGTAACAAGTCACTAGCGAGCATCGGATTAATTTTCTATAGTTTGGTTGGGGTCGCGCTAAATCATGAAGTGGCAGAAGTTAGAATTCATGAGCCATTGACTCGGGTCCCAGTGGGTGAATGGTATACGAGGTTGCCTTGTAACCGGAAGGTTCTTGGTTTGAATCCCAGTGGGTGCATCTTTCTGATGATTCCCAAACTAGACTGACAGAACAGTTGTCCAGTACTCTCTGGTTTTCAATGGTATCTCTAACTGATATCATTCCGTGCTCAACTCGTAAAAACATAACTAATCCTTACAAACCAAAGTGTAGAAATTATGAAACTAAACAAACACTTCAAACCGAAATTACTATTCAGCACTTGGATATCATCAATCAGATGTTGTAATACTGAAGTTTCTTGCATAAGATCGACTGAAAAGCTTTCTAGATTCCTATTGGTGTATTAAACTAAAGCTAAAATGCATTACATAAATAAAGTACTGTAAAATGGAATATGTATCTTATTGTTAATATTTATGAAGAACACAGAGTGATAACTTATCTGGGTCATTCAGACAAAACGTAGGAAATGTCAGACTGCAGAGCAGGCAGATATAAAGTGAAAAGTAGTAACTTTTATAACCTATCATTTTTATATTTTAAGCAAATACTGACATGATAGTGAAAAGTATCGATGGGTGAAAACCAATAAATTTTTTAAGAAAGCTCGGCCATGGGTTCTCCATTAGGACCTCTCCTAACGGATGTCTTCATGGCGAGCTTAGACAGTAGTCCACTGAAAGAAACGAACTTGAGTTTGCATATGTATAAGCGATACACTGACAACACCTTTATTATTTCAAACGACAACTGTTCAACTGCTGAGCTTCATGAAATACTAACTCACCATATATCATTTGAAAGAACACCGATAACTTTGCAATATTTCATACTCTGTGCAAGTATGTTAAAATTGTTGTTGTAGATATATTTAATAATGTCTTTGCCATGTAAGCAGCTGACGAGAAGGCAACGAAATAAAAGATGGTACCATTTCATTCTGCTAAAACTGTAGTTTTTGCAATATTTTACTGATATCATTTATAGAAATTAAGGAAGGAAAGTAAGACGACTATTTTCAATCAAGTAAAGTGACCGGTACGCGAGCAAATCATGTTGATTTACCATTTTCTGCAACAGTTAGTGCTATCTGAAAATTCTCTTATATTCATTTCTAAGATGTCAATCACTTATTAAGCCTGTCGAAAATTGTTCATTTGATGTACAAATGTCTCTTCTGAACCCCATGGTATTAATTTTTTCACAGTATGCAGCATATCTAACAAAAACAAAAAATATCTTTTTCTCATTTCTATGCCTACGTGTAAATGCATCCCGAATTCTATTTTCTGTGTCAGTTTTAAAAGCTGTCAAAAATTAGATGATTGTTGAGCTCGTGGGAAACACTCGCTACACTTCTATTTGTCTCTTTCGTCCAAAACAGAGATATTTAATTCGATGTATTTCAATTTAAACAGTAACAGGTCATGTTTCTTTGTGTCAGAATGGATCTGACCTTACCCCCACCTTTTCTGTAAATTTCATAATCCCTAAATGATTAAACTTTTTCTATTGAAAAGCAGAAATTTCAAAACATGAAAATGACTTCAAAATGATTTGAAGCTTTTCCCTTGTCTTTTTTTATTTCATATTTAGACAAATATGACAAAAAATTGATTGATGTTTTTGGGGAAAAATTAGGCATAACACTATAGCAGCTTCATAAATCAGATTTAAATATATAATTTCAAACTATATGACCCTGGTCAGTTTAGTCAGTGGACTCAACACATTCAGTAAAAACTTTAAGCTACAATGCCTTTGTTAAAAATTTCAAATATTTTAGTGTTAACAAATGACTTATAAAACTACCCCTTCTACAAGTTAAAATATGTATTTCTATCACCTTGCTAAATATTCACCCTCTCAGCAAAGCAAAGTTTATAGTATACAGTTAACCTGAATGGATTATAAAGCTTCGTGATCAAGAACACTACATGTAAAGATAATTTAACCCACTGGGTCCAATCTATTAATCACCTTAAAGGTACTCACATTTCTAGCTTAATATGTAAAAAGACAATAAAGAATGTGATGAATTTTAAGATTTGTTTGGAGTGATAATTTTACTTCTAAACCTCATCAAGTGAAACGTATAAATTCTTAGATTATAAGTTATTTTCACATCTACTATTAATAAATGAGACTTCGATGGCTTTATATTTACACTGATGGAAGAACTTTAGTATGTATATATAAATAAATGTTTGAACAGTTCATAACTGGACAAACCATCTTATCAGTTTCTTTCTTTTGATTATAGCTTGAAACCATACAGTATTTTTGGTACAAGTATGGAATTTTCAGCATATGATATCGGTAGCCCAAATTTTGCAGGCTGACCATGGATATCGGGTGTGTACTGGCAGAGGATCAAACTCCGGACCAAATGCATGATCGGCAAGAGTCCTAACCGCTGTGCCACCGACGCACAGTACAATATATAATATAATAAATAATTATCAAGAGTTGGTTTGTAAGGATTAGATTTGTTTTCACGAGTTTGACCACCGATCGATATCAGTTAGAGGTTGTGGTCGCACTGAATCCCGAATTGGTAGAAGTTAGAATTCATGGACAATTGAATCGGGTCCCGGTGGCTGAATGGTATACAATCTTGCCTTGTAACCGGAAGGTCCTGGGTTCGAAACCTCTACGGTGGGTGTGTAGAGCCGATGATTTCCAAATTAGGCTGACAGAACAGCTGTCCAATACTCCCTGTGGCTGGTTTTCAATGGTTCTCTAAATGGTATTAATCCCCAGTCAAACTCGTAAAAATAAATAATTAGTTAGCTATGCTGTAACACATATTTGTTTCCCAATATTATTTTTGAAAGAGATCTGAATTATTTGATTCACTGGTTTATGATATTGGAAAAGTTAGGCATACTTAGTTTGTTAATATCTCAATATTATTTCTGAACACCTCAGAGTATAATTTCTCAAATATTAGAATTATGTATCTGTCAATTTATAGTCCTGTTATTTAAGTTAAAAAGTCATGTACGTAATGAATAAATGTCACAGAGAGTTTATTGACACTGAAATATCTTCGTTAGACCAAAATAGTTCTCGTCATTAGGGGGAATTCTAAGACAACTTCCACTTTATTCAGTTGAATTTTTAAAGAGTACAGTTTCATAGAAATTTAAATACCTTAAAAGAATAAGAGTTTGCATGTAAAATTACTGAATTATGTCTTAAAGCTGTCCAGTGTATGCCTTTTTGATAACATACTTCCAAATACTGTGGACTCTCATCTCGTCGAATGGGAAACAGTAAGTTGAAGACCCAGCGGTGACAAAAAGAGATAGCGTGAGAAGGAGATGTAAGCTTATCGGAAACTATGAGGCTAGCTAAAGAGGACTGCAAAGAACAGGATGAAATGGAGATATGTTTGTTGAAGCTCCACGTTCCCCATGGAACATAAGAGAATATTAATAACACTGCAGAATGCTAATAAATTGATTTGCCATATGTGTATGTTATATGTGTATCTATTCATTACTAGATGACAACTAGGGATGTGGAATATGTGATATCAGCTAGGTGACAATGTACTTTTCTCAACTAATAATACATGCATACTTCAAACAACTACCGTAACGTAAACTTTAGCACAAATGATAATCAAGGAAGTATAATCCGGCTATACGTCAACGAGTGGCTGACTGAAGTTATACATTCTTATAAGTGAAAATCATTCAGCTGTATTCACACCTACTAATTATAAGTCTGTTCAGATTCAGATATGCTCATATATTGTTATTATATCCTTTAATTCCTAGAGGAACATTGGGCTTCAGCCACAAGTCCCCATTGCGTTCGGTTCTCTGCTAGAGTTTTCACCTCGCTTCAAGTCTGCTCACATGCTTTCATCTCCTCTTCACATGATCTCCTCCAAGTCACCCTCACGCTGACGACCAACTCGCCGCTTCCCATTCCAGTTCCACTCGAGCAATGGCTTGTCTAGTAATGTCACTTGATGGTTTCCTCAGAGTATAGCCAATCTACCTACCTCCATTTCTTCCTGCCTATTTATTGCACAATCGGTTCCTGGTTGGCTCGCTCCCAGAGATCTCTTTTGCTGATCTTTTCCGGCCGGCCATCTAATCTTGAGTATTGAGCGAGGAAAGCTGTTGATGAAGGTCTGAAGTTTGTTTGAGATTCTCTTTATGCCATGCCAAATCTCTGATCCATATAGTAGCACTGACTGATTTCACATTGGAGTTGAAAATCTGGATATTATTTTTGATGCTGAGTGCTGCTGACCTCCACACAGACTTGAGAGTAATGAAAGTTTGTCTTGCTTTTCAGATCTTCGCTTTGATATCCTCGTCAGTTCCGGCTGCCTGTAGTCGAAACGATGATTTCCAGGTAGGTGGGTAAAGGAGGTTGTTTCTTTCAGGTTCCTCCCATTCATGCTGGCTAATTGTTGTCTGTTGTTGTTGTTTCTGTTGGTGTTAGCCAGGAATCTTCATCACCTCTGTTTTCTCTATGTTGACCTGAAGTCCTACCTTGTCTGGATGCTTCTTCTGCTAGCTTGTTGCTTTTCATTTGCAAATCTTCCAGTTTGCGGGAAGTCAGACATATATCATCGGATATGCTCATATAAGTATGCATATTTCCGATTAATTTATCTTGGAGGATGAAGCTTTGCTTGGCACTTTATCACATAAAATTGTTTAGTATGAAGTTTTGAAAAACAATAATAAGATACATTTGAAAGTAATTAAAGAATTGTTCAAATAGATTAACTTACCGGTATTTGGTTTGCATTTTACTGCGAACTTGACACACAAGTCTAGTTTTGAAAAATGAGGTGAATAATTTACGTCCATCATCTGGCATTTGAAATCCTTTATCTTCAGTACAAATGCGAGCAATACGAGTGTATACAATCTAATTAAATAAGGAATACCATTCATTATTTCTTGTCAGTATATGGGATAAAAATTTGTACGAATTTATATTTGGGAAGACACTGACTATCCTTCTCTTTTTGTATTACAACTCATCAAACACATGAATTATTTAATATTATTATTAACTTAATCGTCTACAGGAAATCAAATTACTATGGCCAAAAAAATTGAAGCACTCAACCATTTATTATAAAGTTATAAGCTTCGAGCGCTATTTTAATCCCTGTGGTTGTCATCTACTACTCTTTAAGTTCTACTAAATTAGAGTTTAACCATGAGTAAATGCTTTTTTTGACGTTCTAACATGTCAATATAAATTAAGAACTTATTTTCAATAAATTGCAATTGTTTCATAAATACCTTATCCCTACTAGGGGAGAATTAGGTGAATAAAGTGTGATTTTCAAGTATTGGTTTGTAGGGATTTGATTGGTTACAGCATTTCATGATGAGCTGACATTGATCAGGGAACCATTGGAAAACCTGAGAGTACTGGAGAGCTGTTTCGTCTCAGCTTGGGACTGTTATGCGGTACGCACCCGCCGGGGTTCAGCTCATGATGAAATCCTGTAACCAATCAAATCCCTACAGATCAACACTTGAATATCGATGAGATTCTCACTAGCGACTGGCCGTATTCAGGTAGGTAGTTACCTGGGATTCCAGTGAAAAGTCATGACCAGTAGGGTGCAGCAGGTCGGGTATAAGGACAAATACTCGTCGAACACATTGGCTAGGGGTCGTGCTATATCGTGAATTGGCAGAAGTTATAATTCATTGGCCATTGGATCGGGTCCCAGTGGCTTAATGGTATACGAGCTCGCCTTGTAACCAGAAGGTCCTGGGTTCAAACCTCAGTGGTTGGTGTGTACTTCTGAAGAGCCATTCCCAAACTAGGCTGACGAAACAGCAGTCCAGTACTCCCTGTTAGTTTTCCAATTATTCTGTAACCAGTGTCAGCTCATGATGAAAAGTGTGATTTTTTTAGCTGTTAGTATGATCCCTACCACTTTTTTTTCAACTGCTACTGAAATACATGACTTGTACAGCTTCAACTAAATCATGACAGAAAGTGAGTGGCATGTTGCTAGGCTATTCAAATACATTACAAATAAATGTATCCAAATACTAGTTCATCTACAGTTCTGTTTTTTGAATAACTTAGCAATTTGCCGGTTACTTACAAACCTAAATCCTTCTTAAATCAAGAATAACTTGAGAAAAACGGAAGCACTTATGTTTATAGAATAGTAGTAGCAGCAGTAGTAGTAGTAGAGGACCTCTTTGTTTATTTAAATTAATGAATTAAATGAACTTGTTACTTAAGCTTTCTTACTTAAACTGATTGACCAGCCTTAAATATGAATTTCTGAAACGAGCTCGCTGGCCTTGTAACCAAAAGGTCCTGGATGCGAACCTCAATGGATGTGTATTTTTGAAGAGTCTTGAACTAGGCTGACAAAACAGCTATCCAGTACTCCCTGTCGGTTTTTCAATGGCTCTCTAACTGATGTCAGCTCCTAATGAAATCCTCCATCCAATCAAAAAAAATTCCCTACAAAACCAGTATTTGAAAAATGAGTTTAAGGTAATTTTGTATTTCCCGTAGACTGATTATACCAGATCGAAACGTTCAGTCACTGTTGACGTGTCGGCTCTCTCAGTAATGACACTTCTACAGTGTTTTTGAGGATTGACATGAAGTTGGTTGGTGAATGATGACTAGCAGAGGAATTCAGGATGAGCGCTGAATATTTTGGTCCAATATAATCAGCTAATCTGAAATACGAAGTTAACTTAGACAAAAAATTAACTTGTATCCATTGTAATAGTGGTGGTTCAGGTGGCCTAGTGGACAACACTTTGGCGTTTGAAAAGAAGGGTTCTGAGTTAATTTCAGTGGAAATACTACAGCCCACTGGGGATTGTGAGTACGTCGAGCTAATGAGTCTCGAATAGGAGGAGATGTGCATCCTAGATTCCACCACTAGTCACTATCCACCAAATAACAATGATAAATAAGCCTTAAAATTGTGATACCTGCTGTGTTGAAGAGGTTTTTCAGTTTTAAAGGTGGGATTTTCTAAAGTAACTAAGTCATTTTTAGACTATTTATCTGTCTTTGACGATGTACACTCTTACATATTCTTATAATTTGAAAATATTTATCAGCGTTTCATTAATTTACTATTCTCAACCACAGACTTCACTAGGTGTAATCAGCTCAATAAAAAATGACTCATGTTCATTGTCATCATCAGTAATAGTATTATAAGTACAAAACATTAGAATGTTGTTTTGAATTGATTGATTTCTCTGGATAAATGACAAATAGACAATTAACCAATGAGTTAAGAGAAATCTGTAGTATAATTAATTTTAAATTTTTTGATTTAATTTTTTTAATTTTTGATTACAGCTTGATTCCACACTGTATTTTTGGTACAAGTATGGAATTTTCAGCATGGATATCGGTAGCCCAAATTTTGCAGGCCGACCATAGATATCAGGTGTGCGTCGGTAGAGGATTCAACTTCGGACCGTCTCCATGGTCGGAGAGAGTCCTAACCACTGTGCCACAATCAGTGATTATGAACGATACACATATATATATATATATATATATATATCGTCCGTAGGTATTAATAGTAAATACATTTAATGAACAAATGGACAGACTTCATAAAAAATCTGCAATTATGGTCGATGAACTTATACTACTAAATAAAATAAAAGTAGTCAATAATGACAGGTTATACAATCTCTCTGTCTGTCTGGATTCAACATAGAACTTGGCACCGAAGTACAACAGTTCGAGTTGCCACGTTGCAAATAGCACACAAAGGTAGACAAGAAGATGAGTGGAGTGAATTAACAGAGTTTCACAAGTATAAGAGTGAAACAGAATCAGTAATGGCAGAAAGAAATATGAAAGATTACAGAGACTGAATACATCTGCACCATTGACAACGATTTTGAGCCATGTCACCTATTGTCTCCAGCCACTGATTGATTCCTAGAGTCCCGAGGGCCCTAACCCAGAAGTCTGCATCTCCCTACCTGACTCACTCAGTTTAACTGTCAAGGATTTCATGGATTGATGCCATGTTTTTGTTTGGCCACCACTGGCTCTTTCCAACCTGCACCTATATCAGCTAGCAATGCCCGTCGGGGGAGGCGATGGTTAGGCATGCGCAGCACGTGACCTAGCCATCTCAATCTATGTAACTTTAAAGCCTCGTCGATTGATTTTCCACCTTTGCCCAACACCCTACGCCTAACGTCAACATTACTTACCTTACTATACCACCTAACGTGAGAAAGAGATCGTAGACATCTATGACCAAAAACAGTCAACCTTTCCATGTCTTCAACTCGTACTGACCATGTTTCAGACCGAAGGACGGAGCGAACTGCTGAGCAGTACACACGTCCCTTGGTTGATAGCCGGATGTCACGCCTACGCTAGAGATGGTGTAAGCTAGTGAAAGCAGCTCGAGCTTTTTGGATCGGTGCTAAGGTTATACAATACATTTAGTTTAGCTCATTATGAACTGCAAAACACATTAACGACAGACAGCATACTGTGAAGCATGCTGGGAGGGGAGAGTAAACAAAAATGTATCAGTTAGTATAAGTTATTTCCATGGTGGAAGTACATCCCTGAAAACATTTTGTGGTTGCGTTTAATCACTACATCGTAAGCTGAATAAATTCAACATTTCTTTGCTCATTTTGACTAAAATATATTTCCTAAAATTTCGAGCCACTTAAGATTGTTAATTGGTGCATAAGGACTAGTAGTAGAATCCAGGAGGCGTATTTCATCCCATTTGGGACTCGTCAACTGAATTCGCCTGCATTCCACAGCGAGTGATGATGTTCCCACCGGGGCCCGAACCCAGTGCCCATAGTTTCGAAGCAACTGCACAAGAAGCCGACATATCAACATGAGACTGAGCACTTTAGTTCAATCAATCGAGGGGAAAATCTAAACTTCAATTAAATACTTAAGATTGTATTCAAAAGCTGTATAGAATCTTTTTCAAAAGGAAAATCATCTCATGTAACTCTTGAATTGTTCACCTCATATACCCCTTTTTATTTCTATGAAATCTCAACTGCTTAAGTCCTCTTGATATGATAATGTTTTATCGTCATTCAACTTATAAACTTACCTTTTACATGTTTGACTCCTACTAAAGATTTTTCACCAGTTTGTTATGTACACCCCAGGTATCTTCGTGTTAAAATCTATTCATTCTAAACTTCCCCATGTTATAAAAGTGTTTAGACCAAGGATATGATGTGAACATGGTAGAAAATGGTAACAAATGCTTGTTACTTATTTGCAAAACTATTCCATTTTATCCTCTAACTGATCGATATGTTGACCAATACTTTCGTGCGTCGGTGGCACAGCGGTTAAGACTCTTGCTGACCATGCACATGGTCCGAGGTTCGATCCCCTGCCGACGCACACCTGATATTTATGGTGGGCCTACGAAATTTGGGCTACCGATAGCCATGCGGAAAATTTCATACTTGTACCAAAAATACAGTGTGGAATCAAGCTGTAAATTAAAAAAATCAAATCAAAATGGAACACTTCAAGTTGTCACACTTTAAAGAAAGCCACATAGTGCTAAAGGACAAAAAACATCATGAAATTACGTCAAGTAATATTTGTGAAAGACAATGATTCCATGAAGATGAGTGAAGTTTTCATTTTTTTCTTCTTCTTCTTCCTTTAAATACAACACTTCCATCTTATCAATTTCTTTCTCTTGATTATAGCTTGAAACCATACAGTATTTTTGGTACAGGTATGGAATTTTCAGCATGTGATATCGGTATCCCAAATTTCACAAGCCAACCGTGGATATCGGGTGTGTACTGTCAGAGGATCAAACTCCGAACCAAATGCACGATCGGCAAGAGTCCTAACCGCTGTGCCACCGGCGTTTAGGTTGCCCAGGAGTGCTTAGTATAATTCTTATTTGTTTGTTTTTTAAACAAAAATAATAAACAATGAATTAGCAATCACTTACTTTACGATCAGATGTCCATGGATTTTCTCTCAGTTGTGTTTCAATAGCTGGTTCTCTAAACACAATATATCGTCTACCAGGTAATGATAAAATCTTCTTAAATGTAAACTCATAACCTTCAGTAAAATGTGAATTTTTTAAATTATTTGTTTCAAGTAATTTATCCCAATACATGGAATTAGAAAGTAATAGGTGGTAATTATTTGTGTATGCATTATAATTACTATTTTCCATAACATCATAAGAAGTATGCATTATTATTTCCTTTGGTAGATTCATTTGATCTTCTAGCAATTTGAGCTTTTTCACCTCTAATCTCGGTGAATATCCATCAGATGAAGAAGCCAGAGTTAAATAACCATCTGAAAAGAGAAATGAAAAAGAAACATGTAAAATGCTCTTTTTTTTCCTTCACGTTCCCCAGTAGAATATAGGGCTTCAAGCTAGTCGCTTGAAGTTTCTGTAGCAGTGTTTATTTTTACAGGATGGGGTTGCTAGCCTCACGACCAACCTTTCCTCTTTACCAGGGTTATTTCTGGCTTAGCGAGGTAAAAAAGTGCGTTTGCCGGGGATCGAGCCTCAAACCATGTGCACGGTCAGCGAGCAACCTAACCGCCAGACCACCAACGCTGTAGCTAGTAATTAATACAATAATGTTGTATGTATTCAAGTGGTTGTTGACACAAACAAGTGAAATATTTTAATAATAATAAAAATACTTCCATGGAGTTCACAAGTAGTTTTAATATGAAAATAATACAACATAAAGAATCCACACTTCAGCTTTTATGAACTTTTAACAATCCATACCCATCTTGATATCAGTTAATTAACTAATTTTCAAGCATTGGTTTTGCAGGGATCTTGTTCGATTGTATGGAGGATTTCATCATCAGCTGATGTCAGTTAGAGAACCACTAGAAAACCTGGGAGTACTGGACAGCTGTTTCGTCAGCCTATTTTGGGACTGTTCAGCAGTACGCACCCACCACCATGGTTCGAACGCAGGACGTTCTGGTTACAAGGCATGCTCGTAGAAATGGTCATCCTATATCGCGAATTGGCAGAAGTTAGAATTCGAGGACCATTGGATCGAGTCCCAGTGGCTTAATGGTCCACGAGCTTGCCTTGTAACCAGAAGGTCCTGGGTTCCAACCCCGGTGGGTACGTAATGCTGAAGAGTCCCAAACTAGGACTAAACAGCTATCCAGTACTCCCCGTTGGTTTTCCAATGGTTCTCTAACTGATGTCAGCTCATGATGAAATCCTCCATACAAATGACCAATTCTTGATTGTGTATTCACAGCTATTTACTCAATGGTAGATTTTTGTGAAATTCAGAGGGCATATTTACTTCTGCCTACGACCTGTTAGTAGAAAGTGCTTATCTTTTAGTGATAATATTCATAATGCTGTCTGTTCTGTCTGAATAAGTATTACTTCAAAAGTCAAAGCACTGTTTATAGACCTACTTAACTATAGAAACTAATTCTTGTGCAGTGTGTATTTTCTCTTTACGTTGTTTGTCTTTATTTGTAAGGATACTTCGATCCTAATGTAAAAAATCTATCAGTCCATTAGTCATTCCGTAATATCATCGTAGCAAAAAGCTACGAGTATCAACAAAAGCTAGTGTGCTTGAGGATAATTATGCACACGTGTGTGGATCCCTTGTCATAATACTTAGGGAAACAGTATAGAAAAATCAAAAGAGTTGAATCCCATACATTTTGATTATTTAAAAATACCACTTTAGTCAATTAAAACAAACGCGAGTGGAATGAATGACTACTACACTAACTTTACTTGAATTTTGGATTTTTCCATCGAGTGATTGGACCGAAGTGCTTGACCTCAGGTTGACATGTCGGCTTCTTGTGCAGATGCTTCAACGATGTCTGAGGATGTAATTAGAATTCAGTTGGTGTATAGTGACTAACAGTGGAATCCACGATGCCTATATCGTCCTGTTTGGGACTCTTCAGCTGGGGGCCGAGCACTTTGGTCCAATCACTCAACGGGAAAATCTAAAATTCATTTAAATAATTTATATGACCCGTTGCACAAGAGGTGGCTCTCGTGACCAGAGTGGTCTGGTGGAAAACTGTTTGGCGTTTGAAACTGGGTTCGAGCGTCGGTGGGAACGTCATCACTCACTGGGGAATGAAGGCACATCCAGATGAAGGGTCCCAAAAAAGATGAAAAATACATCCTGGATTACATTACTAGTCACCATACAACAATTAAATACTACACCAACTGAGTGAAATTTGACTCAAAAATATGACCTAAGCAATAAACTGGAAAATTCCATTATGGGTAAATTTTGTTTTGATAAAGTCCCACAGTGTTATATAGTAATTTTACTGATGACGTTTCGAGCACAATTTATTGCTCATAATCATATCAAGTACTCACACGACTTCCTAACTTCATTTATATAGTTCCATTATTTTTCACTAGATTTGACTGGCAATAGAATTTTCCATACTTCAGGTATGAGTGATGAATCACTCCTATTGCATGTGTTTGGTGTAGACTCAATGAACAAGGATTCAGTAATCAACCTCTCTCTCCACCTATCTAGATTACTTTTTAGAATTCTAATCCTATCCCGCCCTGTTGTGTGGTTGTGTATTAATGCATGCATTGCAATTGCTGAGCTTTTTTCTAAATTACTTATCTTTTCAGGGTCAACCATTCTTACCTCAACTAAATTCTTATGTTCCCACCATCTGACTGCCCCTGACCTACTAGTTTGACCTAGGTAGTTGACCTCACAGTCGTACTGCTGGGTATTTTGTAAATTATATTATTTTGTCTAATTGGGTCAACTGGGTCCTTTAACCTGCACAGCTTGTCCCTGAGTGAAATTGTGGGTTTAAATGCCACCACCCTAATTCCTCCTTTAGAATTTAGAATCCTATGTAGGGTCTCAGATGTACCCACCTTATATGGTAAAACTACTGTAGATGACTTATATTCTTTCTTATTTATGTTATTATTACTAGTTTCACAATTAATTTTCTTTTTCTTTTGGCCTTCTTCAATCTTCTTAATGAATTTTAAAGGATAGTTATTTAGCACTAAAGCCTCTTCTATTTGTTTTATTTCATCATTTAGGTCTTTTCTTGTGCTACTTAGTGCTACTGCTCGGTTTGCTAAACACTTAACTAAGCCTGCCTTAATAGTTAACGCATGAGATGAATTAAAGTCTAAATATCTATTAGAATGAGTTGGTTTTCTGTACACACTGGTGTGTAGTTTACCTTCTTTTACTCGTTTTATTTTACAATCTAACATAGCTAATTCTCCTTGTTCATTTTCCGATTCAAATGTGAACTTTATTCCCTCCACTAGTGAGTTTATGTGTGTCAAGAAGCTAGAGATATGTTCTGTTTTTAACACTGTGAAAGTGTCATCCACATATCTCTACCATATTTTTGCAGTAGGATTAAACGTATTAAGAGCCATATTTTCCCAGCTGTCCATAAATATATCTGCTACGATAGGAGATATTGGTGATCCATCCCATTGCTACACCTTCTGTTTGTCTATATATTTTGCCTTGGAATTTAAAGATAGGAGATGTGAGGCATAACTGAATCCCTAAAATAATTTGTTCAATGGGCAGTGAGTTCAGGATCAGCAGTTAGTTTTTTTTTAACTGCTTTCAAGGCCCTACAAATTCACTAAGGGAGAAGCTGTGTAGGTTAAAGGACCCAGTTGACCCAATTAGACAAAATAATATAATTTACAAAATACCCAGCAGTACGACTGTGAGGTCAACTACCTAGGTCAAACTAGTAGGTCAGGGGCAGTCAGATGGTGGGAACATAAGAATTTAGTTGAGGTAAGAATGGTTGACCCTGAAAAGATAAGTAATTTAGAAAAAAGCTCAGCAATTGCAATGCATGCATTAATACACAACCACACAACAGGGCGGGATAGGATTAGAATTCTAAAAAGTAATCTAGATAGGTGGAGAGAGAGGTTGATTACTGAATCCTTGTTCATTGAGTCTACACCAAACACATGCAATAGGAGTGATTCATCACTCATACCTGAAATATGGAAAATTCTATTGCCAGTCAAATCTAGTGAAAAATAATGGAACTATATAAATGAAGTTAGGAAGTCGTGTGAGTACTTGATATGATTATGAGCAATAAATTGTGCTCGAAACGTCATCAGTAAAATTACTATATAACACTGTGGGACTTTATCAAAACAAAATTTGCCCATAATGGAATTATACTTTACCACAGTGCACAAGTTTTATTCTTATATCAATGATAAACTGGAAAACTTTAAATCTTTTCTCTTGTGGCTCTTAACTATCATACTAAATTAAACATTTGAGTTTTATGGTCTACACAGAAGTGGTTTTGTACAGTCATCATGCCGCATGTAAACTTTTGTTGTGTTAGTCAACAGTTTTTATTTACTCTGAGGAAAAAGGAATGTATTTTGGCAGTGGAAAAAAAGTGAAGCTGCTCAGGCGAATTATTAGCTATTATCTGTGCGCTTGAAGCAATACTAATAAGTGATCGTGCTTACAGTACATCATCTGGCTAGTTGATTCCTCTTAGCAATGTAGTGAACTTTAAGACAGATAACTGGTGGCTTTTGCAGTATTTGACTTAGGTCTAAAGACGCGTGATGTGGAATCAGTAGGATAATTAGAAGTTCGACATATTATGTTATCGGATTTCATCAGGAGCTGAAATTTAGTAGGAATGCAGTTTGTCACAGACTTCTTCATCCTACTTCTAGATCAGACGGTAAGAATATGTCTAAAACCCCCACAGTGTGAGTCGAAATTGAAATGTAACCTATTACTTGGCTTAGTTACTTCTGACTACGCTTTCATCATAGACCCAAATTTTCACGGATAAACTTAAAGTCATACATTGTCGATAGGACAAACACTGTATTCTTTATGTTATTAAGCCATTCGCTCCGTGAAATCAGTTGCTTTTCAGTATTAATAAACCCATTCAAGACAGAATATTAGCGGCTGTATAATTAAGAGCCATGAAACAGTGTTCAAACCTCTGACGTTGACACTATTTAAAATGGTGAAAGACAGCAAAAATGTGATAAACAATTAATTACGAACAAGAGAACATAAGGTTGATATCACCTAAAGATAGAGGAATAAAATATTTCGTTTCAATGTATAAATCAGCATAAACGATAACTACTTCCTTGTTTGATCCCTAGTCTCATCGCTTTTTCTTCTTGATCGAATATAGGACGCTAATAAATCTGGCTGTGCAACAGTAGTCAACATTCAGCTAATTCACATGGTACTGTCGTATCATATATTTCCTTTGCTCTGATACATTTACATTTCACAATATAGCGTCGGTTGACTGGTATCACTTATGCATTTTTCGACTTATTTAGGTTACTCATCTAAAGATCTTGTTAACTATGACATCTGTAATCAAGAAAGTGTTGTTTTTTACACGTATCTAGAATCTAAATATATTTCTAGCATTTGTTTATGTACCCTTGTGAAATTCCTGTATTTACCTTATTAACTAATGTGAACAGTTGATTAAATGTTTTAAAAATGTTAGTGTGACATTTTTCACTGGAAGTTAAAACGTAATAGCACAGAAAACCTTTTTTGGTAAATGAAAAATAGAGAAGCAGCGTACAGTAAATGAGTTCTTAAAAGACCTAAGGACATTCTTTATGGAATACTTCTCTCTAGTTGCTGAAAGAAGAGCGCCAAAGGATAAAATGAGCTAAGATAAAACCTTTAGAACAAGCTGGCAGCTAGCGGTTACTATAGGGGCCCTAAAAGGTAAGTTCACAATTATAGTAATAATGAATTAAATCAAATACGACTTGAGGTACCTTCTCGCCTCCTAAGATTTTGTAGTAAACGCAAACGAATCAACCATATAAATACGGATAGTGAGTTTGAAAACTCACATAATCAAACAAGGGATCTAGTTCCATACACCCTCTTGGGATTAGGGCACTTTAAATGCAGTCTGATAGTTCGTTATTATCAATATAAATATATCATGTACGACTGTAAAAGTATCCTTACGCAGTAACATGTAGAAAAACTACAAAAATTGATAAGTGACAAAATGCTGATAATTAAAAGACCTAATATAGGATCAGGAGTGACTCTCCTAGACAGAAATGGTTGTATTAAAAAATAACGGTAAATTGTGAGCCAAACATAAATTTTAAAAACTGGAGAGGAGCAATCACTTAAATAAAGAACAGAAGATGAAATAACCTTAGGTTTAAAGAAAATACAGAAGGAACACATAATTAAAGCAAGTTTATAAGCAGAAATCAGAGCAACATACATACGCACATATGCAACAAGTTTAAGTGGCCTACTACTGATTAAATGAAGTTTGAAACATTTAGTTTTTTAACAATATTTCTCTAAATTATTATGGTCATATAGATGTAGAACGTGATCACAAATTTATCAAGAAGAATATTTTTTGTCAATTATTCAGTAATTTAAATGAAAAAGCCTCAAATGTGGTAGTCTTAGATCATTCCTGTAATGCCAGGTTACGAACAAATAGAACTACCCTATACTTGCTTCACTTACTTTTGCTCCTTCACTTAGTTCATTTATCAACAAAATTTGCAGGAAAAAAGAAAATAACAGTGGAAAAATAACCTATTGGTGAGTAAAATATTATACACAAGCTGATTAGAATGAAAATTACTGGGTGATTCTGGCACGCATTCGACCCAAATTCGTCTCCAGGGCATCACACTTTATTTGGGTTACTTGACGTTTTAGTGTTTAAGTTATCTAAGCATTCAGATAATATTCAGAAAGATGAATTTACAGGTGATAGCCTGAATTTCTTCAGTAGAATCTAGCAAACATATTCTAATTTGAATGTTCAACGCATTCTCGACAAATTTTCGCTCCCAAGTAATTTGCAACCGGAGATGGTACTATCTGAAGAACTAATGGACTTTTAAGAAAAAGCAATGCCTGTTTTGAAGGTGTGAAGTTCTACTGTGATAAGAGCAGTGTAAAGTAGTACTAATTTTAAAATTTACGTGAAAGAATTATTTTGCCTTTAAGCATCCACATGGATTCCCTCGCAAACGAAACTGATTAAGATGTACATTAAATTGGAATAATAATCAGGACTTAAAATTTGCAAGCTAAGAGAGAAATCTCCTGATCAACTTAAAAGTACGGTAAAAGAGGGTTCAATCGTAAAGACTGAAATTTGACGCATCGCACACCTTAGAAGGCTATAAAATATATTGATTTATAGCTTTTAGAAACAGTCATTTATGTTTTCCTTCTGACAAGTAGACGTTACTTTATTGCTAATTGTGTTACGCTGAGTGGTTAAAATTCTTCATTAATAAGTTCAGTAAATAAACTGAGTAAAGTTTTCATGGTGTGAAGTCAAATAGAAACAAAAAATCCGAATATAACTGAAATTCAGTTAATTCAGTACACCTTTTAATACCTTTTTATATAAATTAAAGCTCAAAAGTATATGTTCATTATAAATCTTCACATAGTTTTAAGACACGAAAGGGGTACATGAAAAAGCACAAAAGTTTAGAAACTCCAGATACACAAACCAGTTGTATGCCAATAAGCAAGTAAGTGAAAGATTTTAAAGACTCACCAGAATAATCGTAAAACAAATCCTTGTACTTCAAATCAAATGGTGCAGTATTTCCAGAAAACGTTGACCAGATTAAATCTTTTTTAGCCAAAATATTACACCTAATACTCATTAAAGACCTTCCACACACTTCAAAAGTACCAGGTGCCAGTCGGACAACAGACTGAATCACAGAATTACAGTGGTTGTATCTCAAATCAAAGACTGATTCCGTCTGGATGGTCGGCCATGTCACTTTATCATGGATGAAGTGTTCGTTAGTTATGGATATTATGATTATGCTAGTGCTATTAATAAGAATCAGTGATCTTGAAGCCACGAACTTACTTAGTCCCAAGAAAGAGATAGTTTTCTGCGCTTGAGATAAGGCAAAATCTGCCTATATGCACTCGACTATCTCGTGAAATTTTCTCTTCCGTATCTACAACATGAAATAGAAGGGATACATTGCAGACATATATCATAAGGCCTAACAAATAGCACACATGAAGCATCCAGATATTTAGAAATTTGTATGGTTTTTCATTAAATAGAAATATGTGACGAGATGAATAATGTTCTTATTTCATCAGCGGAAAGGTGTAACGAGTATTCAAATACATGGCGGTTTCAAGCTAATAGAATATACATTGATTCAGCATAACAAAACATATATCAAAGGCAACCTTTCTTATTGAGGTTAAGGTCGAATATTTCATTTAGTTGAATCTATCAATAGACTGTTAGCTCTTTGCATGTATTTAAAACCGGAAATGGCATCCAATATCGTTTTTACGAGCTAGTATGAACCAATTTGATTTCTTTGTGCTCGCTTCTTGATTCTAAGGTATAGGTTCCTGATCTTCGGTAAACTTCTGCGTAGCTCGTCCCGCCACTCGACTGTCGTAGCTTTGGCTGACTCCAAAGTCAGTAGTCCTGGGATTAATTATAAGTGGTTTGTAGTATGAGGCGATGGACCCTCCCCTCACTGAGCTCCTTGACTCCACATGGTGCCACTTCAACGTTGGGTACTGCAAATATCTAGTGGGCAGCATTTATCGATCACCTTCATGTGGAGCAGACCACAACCAGGTACTGCTAAATACAATCTCAGAGACTCAAGACATGGGTTATGATCAAATTGTCATAGCTGGCGACTTCAATGCCCCATCTCTTAACTTGGTGTCGGGAAAAGCCCATGATAGATTTGATCGAAATCTGCTGCATACCATCAGGAAGGCTGGATTCACTGAAAATGTCAAGATGGATACTAGATGGGGCCCTGATGGGAAGTCTTCTAGACTGGATTACGTGCTCACTAGTGACCAGCTACTAGTGGAAAACGTTCAGATCACGACTCCCATAGGTAGTAGTGACCACGCGGTCATAGTATTCGACATAGTCCTCCGCGAGCGCTTACAGTGGGACAATACACAGCCCTATCTGTGTTATAACAAAGCCAACTACACCAAAATGCGAAGACTTCTGTCTGAAGCAAATTGGCCTAAAAATGGACAGAGCTAACAGTAGAAGAACACTGGAGAGTGGTAAAGGAGATCATTCACCAGGCGGTCTCAGACACTGTTCCTTTAGTCACACCAAAAGCTAGGAAGCAACGATCATGGCTAAAAAGGGGGACACAACGCCTTCTGCAGGCGAAGCGAAAAGCCTGGTGTGCGTGGCGACGATCGAAGAGTCAACCCGAACATGAAGTGTACCTTGAACTCAGGAATCGATGTAACATACGAGTCCGGAGCGATAGAAGGACATTTCAGGGAAACCTCGCCAATAAGCTTCTCGTGAACCCCAAAAGCCTATACAGGTTTATGTCCGAAAGAAAACCGACCAACCAGGGAGCATGCAATCTAGTGGGTTCTGATGGGAAATCTCTTACTAGTCTTGAAATGGCAGAGACATTCAGCCTAGCCTTTCACAGGCAACTAAACAGTAACGAGGATATTACCCCCACAAAACATCAATATTACATCGCAAAACCAACGCGCGAAAACCTCCTGGGTACATTTCAAATTACCCCGGCTATGGTACTTGCAAAATTGGGAAGGTTGGCTTCGGGAAAGTCTTCAGGTTGTGATGACATCAGACCATCTGTCCTGAAGCAGTGTTCAGAAAGTCTCTGCCAACCCCTAAGTGATCTGTTCCAACACTCCCTTGATGTAGGGAAACTTCCATGTGAATGGAAACGAGCAATCCTATCCCCTATCTTCAAGGGTGGTGACCGGCAGAATGCGACCAGTTACAGACCAGTTGCTCTACTTCCAGTGATTTCGAAAATATTGGAAAGTCTCATTGACGACCACATGAGAAAATACTTCGATGGGACTAACCTCCACGAAGCACAGCACGGTTTCAGGAGGGGAAGATCCTGCGTGACGAATCTTCTACTAGCTTGGAACGATTGGACACTATCCTGGGACGAAAAGGTACCAGCCCACGTGATCTTTCTCGACTTTGCGAAAGCATTCGACACAGTTCACCATGGTCTGCTCCTTCACAAAATAAGCAAGGCAGGTGTTTCTGGAGCACTTCTCGCATGGCTGAAAGATTACTTAGGCGAGAGAGAATTCTGCACCAAAGTCAACCGCATCCGATCATCCTGGCACACCTCGGCATCAGGGGTTCCTCAGGGTTCTATCCTAGGGCCGTTGATGTTTTTGATTTTTATCAACGACCTGCCCCCCCAACTAAACTGCTCTGCGCTTCTTTACGCTGACGACGTAAAGATTTGGAGAGCAATAAACTCATCGGAAGACTCAGATAGATTGCAGGCTGACCTGCAAACTCTGGGAAACTGGGCTTTGGCTAACGGAATGCCTTTCAACCTAAAGAAGTGCAAAGTAGTGCAACTTCATTCCGGCAGGTCACAGAGTGTAAATTACACCCTTGGTGGCCAGAACTTGAGTTGTGTTCCATCAGAGCGAGATCTAGGTCTTATTCTAACAGAAAAGCTAGACACCAGTGGAAATTACTCGAGGGACGTCGCCAAAGCCTACGCAACATTACACTTTATGCACAGGCAGCTGGGAGCTCTCACTCCCGAACTGTTCTTAAGGTTATATAAGGCATATGTGAGGCCACACCTTGAGGTGCATAATATCATTGCTCCTCCGCTACTCAAAAGGGATGCTAACATTCTAGAAAGTGTCCAGAGACGAGCGACAAAATGGGTGATCGGCCTCCGCAACAAATCATATGAGGAAAGACTAAAGAAATTAGGTCTCTTCACACTTAGTTACCGTAGGCACAGGGAAACCTCATCACCGTCTGTCAGATCTTAAATGACCAGGCCCACCCAAATAAAAGCATTCTGCCATTAAGTGATTATGGGCTTCCACGAGGTAACCCGCTAAGGATAGCACACCAGAGACCAAAGACTCGAGTGCGATCACATTCCTTTTCGCTTCGAGTTTGCCGTCTCTGGAACGCTTTACCGGCGGCCGTGACTACAGCGCCATCTCTGGAGATTTTTAGGCGGAAGCTGGACAATCATGCAGAAATGCAAGGTTTGTGTCTCAATGGCTTATCCTCATAAAACTTAAAACCACACCGTCAATGGATGAGCGTACAAACTAAATCCCCACGACCTGTTCTGCCTTCTCTCACTGTATCGACTACTCTATCTTTCCCTTAGGTCACCTTTATTATTTCACTTATCTCAACCCATATTATCTACACTACAACATATTATTATTACTATTCTGCTTTTACGACTACGCCGAATGACCAACGGGAGTTAGTTCGAACTCCATTCATGGAAGCAACACAGTCCTAACATACTGCATACTACAAACCACATCTCGACCAATCCCTGCACCACTCCTCTTGGAGTCTACCAGAGCTAAAGCAGTTGAGTGGCGAGACTTACTACGCAGAAGCTCACCGAAGATCTGGAACCTCTACCTCACAATCAAGATGCAAGCTCAAAGAAATCACTGGTTTATACTAGCTCGTAATCAGGATATTGGATATTGGAAGACTGTTACTACTGTGAATGGAGTTGATCATTTCTCCAGTTAGTCCTCCGGTATCGTCGACAAGAGAAAAGAGATAGTTTTAATAATAATGCTAATAATAGATATAATTAGTGAAGTTATTCAGACTAAGAGACAGAAACGGAAATAGGAAAGAGTAACAACAGTCATTTGATTAAGTTTGAAGAATAATATATACATATATATTGGTAGTAATAATAATAATAATAGTAATAATATTATTAATAAGTTGTCAGGAGAGCAAGACGGGAGAGAATGTAGAGAGGTAAAACGACGAGTTTAATTGCCTACCCCTGAATGGTGTATGAGATTTTAAGGGGATAGACCATTTGGATGCAGTCCTTGTGTCGCTGCACGGTTGTCAGCCTTCGCTTAGAGGCGTCCAAAGACGATGCTATATCTACCTCTGCCGATAAGGAATTCCGGGGACGGCAAACCCGCAGTGAAAAGAAGTGGGAGCGCACCCGGGTCCTTGCCCTTTGGTGAGCTATCCTTCTGGGATTTCCACGTGGGAGCCTATACCTACTCAATGGCAAAACACCTTTGTTTGGGTAATTCTGGTCATTTGTTATTTTGTAGGCGGTAGTCAAATCCCCCCTAAGCCAACGGTAGCTAAGTGTGAACAGGCCTAATTTCTTCAGCCTTTCATCATATGGTTTGTTCCGGAGACCAACCACTCCCTTTGTTGCCTGTCGTTGGACTCTTTCTAATAGGTTGGCGTCTCTTCTCAGCATTGGGGGTGCAATAATATTATACACCTCAAGGTGTGGTCTGACGTATGTTTCGTACAACCTTAGAAAGAGCTCAGGAGTGAGTGCACCTAACTGTCTATGCGTAAAGTGTATGACCGCATATGCCCTCGCTACACACCCTGTGTAATTTACGCTTGTGTCCATTTTTTCCGTTAGAACCAGACCTAAGTCGCGTTCCGACGTTGTGCAGGACAAGCTTTCATTGCACAGGGTGTAACTTGCATTCTGCAGTCTACAGATGCGTAGCTTCACTACTTTGCACTTTTTCAAGTTGAAAGTCATGCCACTAAACACCGCCCAGTCTTCCAGAAGGTTTAAATCTTCATGCAGCCTATCTGAGTCCTCCGGACACTTTATCGCCCTCCATATTTTTACGTCGTCAGCGTATAGGAAAGTCGGGCAGCTTAGACGGCACGGTATATCATTGATAAAAATCAAAAACATCAGTGGTCCTAAGATAGAACCCTGCGACACTCCTGATGACGAGCTGTGCCAAGATGATCGGACTCAGTTAACCTTAGTGCGAAATTGCCTGTCGGCTAGGTAGTCTTTTAACCATGACAAAATTGGCTCACCTATACCTGCCTGGCTTATTTTATGTAGGAGGTCATGGTGAACAGTGTCAAATGCCTTCTCAAAGTCTAGGAAGACCACATGGACTGGTACATTCATATCCCAGCCGTCCCAAGCTGACAGTAGGCTAGTAAAGCAGGATCTGGCTTTTCCGAAACCATGTTGGGCTTCATGTAGTGTATTAGACCTATTGAAATATTCCCTGATGTGGTCGTCAATAATACTTTCCAGTACTTTTGATACCACTGGGAGTAGAGCTACTGGTCTATAACTAGTGGCGTTTTGCCTGTCCT